TAATTAAATCTACTACTTATTATAAAAATTTATCTTATATTTTTATTTAGTAAATTCTATAAAGCAATAAATGATTTATTTCTTAAACAAACCATCAAATTACCACCCCCAATAAATATTACTAATAATATTAAATAAAAAGTAGAATATATTTTAACTATTAAGAAAATATACTGATAATTCAAATATAAAGTATTATAATTAAATACTAATAATAACCTTATTTGATATTCTACTTTTAATTTCAAAACTATTCTATATTTCTTTTATAACTTTTATTTACAAAATTCTATTCTACCAAAACCTTTTATATATCTATTTAAATAAATTTATTTCTATAAAAATAAAAAGAATAATTATAATTTTATAAATAATAATTAATATATAAATAAAAAAAATTAAAAGAACTTTTTTTATATATCAAAATAATAAAGAAATTATAATTTTATAAATAATAGAAAAACAATTAAATAAAAATTAAATTGTTAAAATAATAAAATAAAGAAAATCTTTTTTTTTATTTTAATAGTTTTAAAATAAATCAAAAAGAAAGTCTCTATAAATACCAATGATTATAATTAGATAAGATATAAAAACAAAAACTAAATAATTTAAATCAAAATATTAATCAAATCTCTAATTAATAGTAATAATAAATATATATAAAATAATTATAAGTTGAAAAATAAAATAACTTTTAATTATAGTATATACAATAATAAGATTGAACTTATACTCAATTATTCATAATTACTTATAAATTATTAAAAGCTTTGTTTTTATTTATATCATAATAAATTAATATTATTATTTTAACTCACTTCCTTACATTATAGCTTTAATTATACAATGCTTTACATTCTTTTAAATAAGAATAATAAAAAGTATTTTTTTTAAAATATAATTTCTTAATTCTTTTTATAAATCAAATTATTAAAAAAGAATTAATTTTATTAAAAACTAATAAAATTATAACTTATTTTTATTATATTATTATATTCAACAATAACTATTTGATATTAAAGAAATATTTTATAAATCTTTTTGGAAAATAAATACTTATATTTATACTTATTAATAAAATAAAGTAAATAGCAAACTTAATCAAATAATTGATTAAGAATTTAATAGTATATATTATTCCCCTTATTAGAGATATAGCTATATATATAGTCTATATAAACCTAATTATCTTTTTGAATATATTGTTTTTATTATAGTACCGTTTTTTTTGATAATCTTTTATTTAGAGATTTTAGTTTATTAATATTAATAAAATCAATACTTTTATAATAAGGTATATTAAATTTATAACTAGATTAATTTTATTATAAAACCTTTATAATCTTCTTTCCAATAATCTTCTACCCATCATTTTCAATATTACCAAAATGATACATTACTATAACCAATTCATCAGTAAATTTTTTTTCATAATTGTTAATACAATTAATCAAAGGATTATATTCTTTCTCCAAATTCTATTTAAAAATATAATAAAATGAATATATTCAATAAATAAATCGAAAGTTGATTTTATTTTTAAAATTATTATTTTCAATAATTATAATTATACTTATTAGATAAACTGATTATATATCAAAAATAAATAAATAAAAAACCTTATTTACATTTCTTATCAGAATCCAATTTATTATCTACCTTATTAAAATCATAATTACTTTTATAATAAGATTTCTCCTTCTGAGTAAATCACTTACCTTATATAATAGAAAAAATAATTATTCTTTTTTTTATAAATTAAATAAAAGAATAAATTAATAAAACAAATATAAAAAAAATTATGAATAATTTATTATTATATATATATTCTCCCATTACTAAATCTACACTAATAATAACTTGTTTTTATTATTATATCTTTTTTTAAGATTAAAGATATATTAATTAATAAATATAAAAGAATTAATTGATTAAAAAAAATTTGAAAAAGAAAAGAAATTCAATTAATTTATATACTTTAAAGGATTTAATTAATTATTAAACTACAAAACAATTTCCTTTACTTTACATATATTTTTTTATTATAAAAAAGAAAAATCTATATATATATTTATTTATTATACTATTTTAATTAAATAATAATAATATTATCTTACAATTGCCAATTTAATAATTAAAATAAATAATTATAAAATTTAAAGATAAACTTTTTTAAAAGAAAAGATAATATTATAAATCAATATTTAATTACAATTATAATTGTTTATATATATATATATATATATATATATATATATATATATATATATATATATAATTATATATATATATATAATTATATATATATAATTGATATATAAATATATTTAATAAATACTTTACTCCCGATTCTATAATTATAAATTCTAAGAATAAATTGTACCCTGCTTTTGTAGTTTTTTTAAGGCAAAGTGTTATAAATATTAAAGTTTTATAATATAGTTTTGGGCTTTAATATTAGTATAGTAATTAAAGATATATTTAATAAAATCTTTTCAAATTGTAAGATATTATTAATTATATATATTAACTCGAGATTATTATATAATTGTTTTATAAAGTTTAATATAATTATTAAAAAAAGATTAATAATTAATATAATAATAATTCGAAAGGTATATAAGAAACAAGAGATTATAAGGATTAAATAGATTAATAAAGAATTTAATCTAGCAAATACAATGATTAAATCTAAACTATATTAAGCTTTAAAAGATTTGATTAATAATAATATTATAAAGATTAAAATCATAAAATGAATTAAAAAAGATTAGTAGTATAGATGATTATATTGAAAAAGGAATATTAACTAAAGGAAATATGATATAACAATTTTAAAAAATCATTAATATTAAAACAAAGATTACATAATTATATTAATATATACACTAGCATCTTTGTATTATAGTATATACATTTATAGCCTTTAGCTTTTAGAACCTCAAGTAATATTATAATAATATAAATTATTAGTATTATATTACTTCATTATCCTCATGATGATACCAATATTTATAAATATAACTTAAACTAACATTCAATTATATAGAGTGAAATGATTAAAAAAGGTTATTAAAAAGAAAAAGAAAAAAAGGAGTTGATCTAAAAAATTAAATCTATTAGGAGAGGAAGTAAATGAGGTATATTTATACTCCCCTAATACTATTTAAAAAGCTAAAATATATCAATTGAATAAAAAGCTTGTTATTTAATAAGAAAAGAAAGCTAAAAAGCTAAAGAAAGTTAAAAAGAAAACCAAAAAGCAAAAAAAGCATTGAAAAGTATAAAAGAGAATTAGATAAAGGAAGATTGATTATTAAATTCTATAAGATTTTAAAAGTATAGTAAAAAAACTCTTAAAATATCAAAGTTACCTATTAAAAAGATTAAAAGTATTTTAAAGCTTTCTTTTATATTAAATTTAGTATTCTAAAAAGCTTTAAATTTTTCAAATAATGTGAGCGAAACTTGGTACTGGTCACGTGACCTCTTTCTATAGCTAGTATTTATAGGTCTTCTTTATATAGTTTAAAGAAAGCAATCAGTTCTTATTTACTTTCTTATACATTTTGTAATATACTATATAAAGCCTATTTCTTCTCTTTACTACTAAAAATATTATATCTCAATAACTTATCTATAGTATTTATAAAGAAGTACTTTACAACTCTACCACCTTTTACTCTTTTATAATAATAAAAAAGTTTATATTTAAATAAATGAGAAAAAAAGAATAAAAACCAGAACTAGAAGCAAATAAACAATCACTGTACTAATAAAGTTTAAAACTTAAATATTTTATAATTTTATATAGTAATAATATACTATATTATAAACATTTAAAAGTTTCAGTCTAATATCTTATAAATTCTAATTATTATTAAATATTGAAGTTATAGTAATAGTGAAATTGAGATTGTATAAGATATGAGGTTGTACAAGATATAGGGATATCGGTTATAATTTCCCATCGAATTTTCTAATAAGAAAACGTATTACACTCAATTTTATAACTAGCTTCTAAAGAAAAAAAGCACTTTTTTCAATATCATCTAATCGAACTTTTGAAATTGAAAATTCAATTCGATTAATACAACTCTAAATTGAAAAAACTTTATATCATAATATAGATATTAATTAACAGAATCTATATATAAAATTTAATTAGAATTAATTAGAAATTAATTGAATTACAAATGAATTGAATTAAAAATGATTGAATAAAATTATGATTTTTGAAATAATTTTCAGATTTTTAAACTCTCGAAAATTGAAAATTTTATTCAATCACCTTCAATTCAATAAATTTTGAATTGAAATTATTTATATTTTATTTATCGATTTTATCAATTGAGATCTATATTTCTATATAGACTTTTTTCAATTTGGAATTATATTGATTGAATTGAAAGCAATTGAATTATTTTTATATAGGATTTAGCAAAAAGTTAATTAGATCAAAAAAAGTCACGTTTTGAAAGCTAGTTATGAAATTGGATATATTAAATTTTTAATCTCAAATTTTAATTTTTTAAAATAAATATCAAACCTACTATTTATTAATACTTTAAAAACTATGTATCTCAATTTCGTAAGAATTCAATTTTATATTGAATTTTAATCGAATCATTAAAATCACTTTTTCCGGTATGAAATTGTGCTTTCCTGTCACGTTGTCCCGTAAGGTTAAGTCTGTGCACCCATTGGTGAACGTCGACCCGGATTACGTTATTACAATCTCCTCCACCCTTTTATCCTACCCCAATCGTACCAACAATACTTTTACTAGTTAGATTTAGCGGAGAACTCATTACTCTCCAATTTATGAATAACATTCTGTACATAGCGTTGCAAAGCAGGTAAACGAAAGTACGGAATTCAAAAAACAAAAACAAAACATCCCAATCAATTCCTTCCTACCTCCGTAACCTTACCGCACATGAATCACGAGGCGACCTGCCTAAAGACTCTGGTGGCAGATCTGAGCTTGAAATTTCCTACGGTTGGAAGACGTACTGAATCAACATATACACATTCTCGACCGTGGTCTCTTTATCACCAAGGACCGCTCCGCTTGCCTTCAGAACCCACCCCTGTAAACTGTCTTCGGCCAATCCAGTACGCATTCTCATTGAATTTTTACCAACATCCGGCTTTTGATCCTGCCAACTTTCTGCCAGTGCTGCAACTGGGGAGATGGTCAGGCCTTTGACGAGCTTCGCGCTCCTCGACATGAGTCCCACCTTTCTCACTTGCAGCTTTGGCTGTCTTCTCGACCAGAACGGTAATCTCTCTTTCAGATTCCCCAGTTCTAGAAAGCCTATTGGGGTAGAAGTGGCGGTTTTAGTAGCCACTGTGGTAGCGACCACGGCAGTGTTAGAGCCAGTTCCAGTATCAGCCAGCGCACTGATATCCTCCCTCTTCTTACTCGCTCCCAGAATTTGAGAAGTGAATCCATGCCAGCCATTCACAAAATCATTCTTGAGATCGAATAACGTCCAAAAACCTTCATTCTGGCCCTCACTCTGCACCAGACCGACCTGCTGGCGGACATACTCGTTCGCCGCATTACGCAGCTCAGCGCCGCCATCATACGACGTATAATGCACGTGGAGTAGCACATCGCTGATGGTCTCGTAGTCGAACTTGCGCACTTCAGTCGGCAAATCCAGCTTCCACGACGATATGGCGCCTGCGCCCTCGAAAGGCATGAACCTCGGCCCGTTGAAGTTCAGGTCAAAAACGCCTGAATCCTGTGACCCGGAGCTGATTGCTACTGAGGAAATAGGTATACGCCGCGTACAGAATGTGTCACTGCTGCTGCTGGTGTCTCTATAGCTCGCGGTATTGCTTGACAGATTGCTGAGCCGGTACTTGTGCGTTGTCAGTGTCAGAGTAGCGTTAATGCTGCTGTACGGGCTCAGCACCGCCGGGATCGACACGGCCACTGAGCGTATCCGGCGCATGTAGTGACCTGGGAAGTCCATATCGTACTGGAGCTCTGAAACTGAGAACGTGGTACTTCCCGTGTAGCGTAGCTTTAAGAGCGCAAGCGGATCGATTTGGCGGAGGGAAACGGTCTTGGTGATGTTGAAGTCAGGTTGAGGCCCGTCATGGTACGCCGCCTCGAGACGCTTTAGGTCCAGGTAGAGGTGGTCGGCAGAGAGCAAACCGTCCTGGGCGGCTTGCCAATATCCGGCGGGTTTGAGAATCGACACCTTACGCCCCTGTTCGAACGAGAGAGCCGTCTCTGCTTTACGAGCGATTGTCATAGTCAAGGTATAGGCCTGGAAGTGCAATGCTCTCAGACTCTTCTCTATCCAGCCATAAAGTTCCTTGTTGCTGTACTTGGTACGATACCAAGCATCCATTTTCGTGGCTTCGTTCATCTCTGACTTCTGGATCTCAATATCTTTCATCGCTACTTTGACGCGGATTTCAGCCATCTCGATCTGTTTGTCAATACCCTTAATCTCGCGACCCCGCATATTCGCCTGTAGTCGACGCTCTTGTAGCTGTCTGGTCATCTGTGCCATCCTGCCAGAGCGGCTGGCTCCCTCTTGGACTATCATACCTGACACACGGAAGATATGGCTTGCCGATTGAATGCCAGCCGCAATGTTAGACCCTCCGGCAGAAATACTGGCGCCAACACCCAACGGAGCTGCGTTGACGGATATAGTTGGTAGGGCAGCGAATGGCTGGGCAATCATGTCCGTCGTGGCTGCCACAATGTCAAGCCCGGTCGCGATGGTAGCCAAGTTCATTTCCAGCATTTCGTAGGGTGACATTCGAACATTATCCTGAGTGACTGACCCGATGCTCTGTTTTATGTCCTTCCAATCTTCCTGTGGAGTGGGAACTTTTACCGTATCGTTGTCACCAGTAAGTGCAAGGTAAAACGCGAGCTGCGACTCGAGATTCTTCCTGTTGATAATCAGGGCTTCGATATTCTGTTGCGCTTCGCCAAGCTGCATCGTTTTCATTTCAAGCATTTTAGCTTGTATTGAGCTTGTGTGCCGGGCGTGAAGTTGGTTGTATTCTTCACTATCCTTCTTTTCCACGGCACTGATGAAACGGTCTGCCAGAGACCGCAATTCCGAGCATAGATCAAGTGCTCGACTCAGCAGTGCTTCGAATCTCTGTCTGGGTAATGGCCCGTCACGATCACCAGACACCATTCTCAAGGTCTCTGAAATGCCGAATTCTTGATTGCCCGTCGCCACAAGAGATACAGGGTCAATGGGTGGCTCCCTGAGAGCGTAAATGACAGGATTTCCGTCTATATCAAGTGAGTTGCGGGTATTGAACAGTCTCTGGTGTACGAGAGCCCTCATATGCTTGAACTTGGGGTTGATGGGGATGCAAAAGTAGCGAGTCTTGATAAAGCAAGCAATGTTACACTTCGTTGGGTCTTTTTCAGATGTGGAGGCAGAGCCTTTATCTCCAAGCTCCAATTCGGGTGAAAACGGTGATTCGAGAGTATACTTGGCTTGATCGAATTTAGTCTCCTCGGCCATGATTTCTGAGAATGTCTTGCCTATACGCTTGCCCAGTTTTGGCACTTGTGGTGGCTCTGGGCCGAGAACATGGGCCGCCTCAATGTAGCGCTGCGTAGCCAGTGGCAGGCTCTCCAGCGTGCCCTGCCTGAAGTACAAGTCGCCGGCAGCGATCAAAATCTCAGCATACTTCATAACGATCCATTTCATATACGCGCTTGGCCGACCTCTTGCTGTGGCATGGACAAGCTGGCCGTGTGAACGGCGCTCCTTTATGGCCAGCTGCAGCTCTATGGCCAAGCTTTCGAAGTTGAAATTTTCTTCGCCATCGGTGGAGAAGTGTTGACTCATGTCCTGGAAGGGAGGGAAGCGCCAGCATGAATATTGCTGTTCCTCCTCTTGCTGCTGATTGTTCTGCTGCTTGTTCTTCTGGGTTTCAGTTTCATTTGGGAGCTTTGAACCGACTTCTATATCAACTGTGGGATCGAACAGAAGCCGCGCCACTTGCAGCGCCTCGTCAAACTGGTGGGTGGAGGCAAAACGGTCGACTGCAAGCATAATGGCATGCACTCCAAGTTCCCAGTTGTACAGAGCTGCTGGCTGACCCAACTCATGGTAGAAGGTGTAGCCGCCAATTTGACCAAAGCTATTATTGATAGCGTCCAACCTAGACATAATAGCAAATATTCGGGATAATGGGTCGACCTTATCAACCGCTGCTCGCATAAGATCCTGAGAAAATGTGTGGTCTATGGTCGCCAACTGCATCTTATATTTGAGGTCCTCCATGGACCACTTAGCACCACGAAGAGGCTTCTGAGGAACATTAAAATAGCTAATGCTGGACCCGTTGGACTTTTTCACGTCAAGCGCCAAACCGATGGTTTGTCTATGGGTTCTAGATAGCGTCCACTTTATGTTCTTCTGGTTTTCATTGACGTCTTTTGGCACCCATATGGGAGGAGATTGTCCTGTTGAAGACGTCCCGTTGGTGGCATTGTCCGAAGCCATATTTACTACTGCCGCACCGTCACCTGACACCTTGTTAAAATAGGTGGGATAATCATGCTTTGGCGGCGTAGGATGGGTCACCCCATCCAGCACGGTAATTTGGTCGCAACAGAACTCAAACGTTCCCGCAATCAAGCTGCCGAGGGATGTTTTGGTCTCTGCATAGCTAACAACGAGTTGTAGTCTGTCGCTTAAGAAGATAGGGTCGATTCGGAACTGAGACGAGGAAGGTAGCTTGAAATTTTCGGCCTCATGCTTCAGCTCAAAACTGCCAGGGGATACTCGCTTGGGTCTCCAGTTCCCATTGACGAGCTCCGTCCACCCCATCGATACCTCCCAGGTCCGTTGTGGATCCGCTGTGCCAACTGTCTGAGTTCTCATCGACTCAAATTTGCTCGCCTTCTCCTCAGCTGTGCGCTCTCGAGGAGTGGCCTTGGGGGTCAATTGTGGTATAAACAGATACAATCTACCGTCACGGAGCACTGGAAGGAGATATGCGCCCCCTTCTGCCAAACGCTTCCCATCCCACTCCATCTCGACGGACGGGATGTCCATCTCGATCTTGGTCCATGGTCGCCAGAAAATATCATTATTCTCATTCAAGAGGGTGAGAGACCGGTAGTAAAATGTATGAGGGGACACCCTTGTGCGTCCAAACAAATGAAATATTTCTTCTGATTCTTCATGCCACTCGTGTAGATACGATATAACATCAAGACTAGCGATTTCATTGAGGCTGATAACATAGGTGAGAATTGAGTTGGTAAATGTGTTAAGGCTCATATCCTTCTGCATGAGGTTGGCCTCCAACTGTTCAAACAACTGACTCTTGTCGTCGCGCAAAGTAGGATGAATCCAGTTCTCGGGATACAGAAACATCTTACGGTGAGCTTCCCACAAAGTGTAACTTTGCATCCAATCCCATTTTTCCCGACCGAGGAGACTCTTGGGAACACCCTTCTCTAAGCCAAGCAGACAGCGCTGTATGAAGAGTTGGATCACTGAGATGGCCTGTTTGATTCTAGATGTGCGAAGTTGAGGGCCCATCTGTACGTCAACAAGAAATTGTTCAAAGAGGCCATCTGCATCGTAAATCTCAAGATCCTTGCGAATATAGCTCTGCTGAAGCAGGTACTGGACCAGCACATCTCTTCGTCGGGGTGCCATGCGCTCGTCCACCTCTGCCTTGGCTGATGTGGAAAGTGTGCCATGCAGAATATTGGATTTTTCAAAGTCTTGCTCTGTAGTAGAGATCGTTATCCTAGGCCGGGCGAGATCGAAGAGCATGGCCATGGTCGGTGCTTGTGCATCACTGTGACCGTAGCGAATAGTATCATCAAGTGTGATGATCTCATGCAGCTTCAGAAAGGAGTCATATTCACGCAGACTCTCCAGAATAGCAGAGCCGGAATATGTAGGAAATCTGGCCGCCAAAAGATCAACTACTCGTTTGACACCCCAGCCAGTGCTCTCTGCAATCTTTGCTGCGATGATATTGACATCTGCATCCTTGGTGGATGCTAGCCATGTGAACATGGAGACTAGGCTGACTTTGCTTTTAGTCGCGGCCTTCTTGACTTTGGCATATCGGCATAGTCTTATTAAGTCGACTAGCCTAGGTGCATTCAAGTCCATTGCCAGATTCTGGTTCGTCTCCCGTGCTGACTGTGCCATATATTTGAGTTCTTCCGCTTCTAGTTCATGCACCTCGCAAATCTTTGTGGTACGTCCAATAGCAGCAGCTAGTGATGCTGCTTTCTCGATGGTGGTCGCTAACGCCACCTTACTGCCTAAGAGCTTTGTGGGTTTGATCGACTTGGCTGTATACCACGAAAGGTTGGCAGGGCTTATGTTTTGACTCTGCAACAAGTAGTATTGACCACTCGTTAGTCGCGGGGTTTTCCAACTTTTACTTAAGCTATCGAACTCAATTTCAATGTCGTCTATCTTCAGTTGCTTATGCCTTTCAACGTTTTTTGGACTGGCAGGGGCCTTCGCCTCTTCAATTGCCGGCTCGAAATATTGGAATGTGAATTCGTCCGTCGTGCCTGGGCAGAAATAAATATCCAACGGCTGCACGGAAGCGGTTTCAGCTATAGGATCATTTAGATGCTCAAAAACTGACATTGCCGTCTCGATGGAGTTGCCATCGGTACCCTTTGTTTTGATAATATCAGATAATAGGGTAGTCGTAGTAGGCAAGTCAAGGTCCGGAAACCTGTCTTTGATGATATCCACAATGGCAGTCTGAAGAGAGCTCTGGATGATTAGAGGGCCCGCAAATTCCACAAAAGCGGACCTTCGCATTCTACACTGAATTGCAGCTTTAGTTTGCGCCTCCTCCTCTTGAGACAACAAAGTGGCGTCTTGAATCATTGTGTCCTTCCCAGTTTCTGCCTTCTCCTCAGTGACGGTTTGTGCTTCGCCACTATTATCTGGAGAGGCCGCTTTTTGAGGGATTTCGATAGCGTCTATTGCTGACTGGGCCTTCTTCAATACAGAAATAAGCTCTTGTATCAAGGGTGATCGCTTAATGAGGAGCTCAGAGAGTTCCGTGGAATCTGCCAACAAAACAATTAGCATAATAGTCTTGCGTAGAGTAAGTTATTGATGAACAAGAGCCATTGCAACTTACCATCAACATATTCAACTATTGAGCTTGCCATCTCACTGCCAAATAAGCGTGTAGCACAGTCTATAACATTTTCTACGTTAAGAGAAGACGTCGTGTGAACGTAGGAGAGCGTCTTGTCCAATTCATTCGAGACGTCGGAAATACTGGTGTACAGCGACAATCCTGCTTTGAGAAGTTTCTTTTCATTATGTGCGTCGACCTGCCCTAGTACTAAAACGAGGGAATCGATAGGCCATCCCTCTTTTAGCAGAGCCTTCCAGCCCTGCACAGCCTCTAGGGTGTTCCAGGGACTTGAAAGAACAGCATCCCTTCCATCTCGGAAGAAGGCCTGGAAGAAGACGACGCAGTCTTTGGCAGGGACCGAGAGTATCTTGCATATAGTTACGTAGCGGTAGAGCAAAGAGAAGCTTGTAATATCTAGATCCTCGTTTTCTAGATTTGTGACTTTGAGAAGCTTATCGAAATGGTCCGCTGGCCATTTTAAGCTCTCACAGATACCCCTTATGTGGCCTTCCACGCTGGTGGGTTGCCCGTCAGCTCTGAAAAAATGGGGTTTTCCCTCCCCATCCTTGCTAAGAGCAAATACGCTATCAAGATTTTGAAGGGGTTTCAACATGAATTGACGCTGGAAGAAGGACTGTTTGCCGTAAGTGTCCATCTCTCCCCATAGAGGCAATAGAGCTGCGGGAGGTAGAGCGGTTATTTCGCTGAGTTCGGTGAGAGCAGCAATGCATCGAAGGACATAGGGCGAGATTGACATCATTTTGGGCAATGCTCGTTTTAATTCGCCCTTTGTAGTGCCCTTGTTCTTCTTGTTTTTTGAAGGTTGGGCATCATCCAAATCATCTTCGTCATCATCGTCCTCCTCATCAGTGCTATCTTCGGACAAGAGCTCTGCATTGCGGTTAGTGCTGGCCGATTTCTCCATCTCTATGCTGTGGAACCGGAAAATTGCTGCGTCCAAGTCCCTCGTGGACCACTTAAGCTTGGCCTGTAAGCGGAGGAAAGACTGGATACTGAAGGCTAGTTTCTTGGTCAATGGTTTGAATGGCGGATTGGAAGCATTGCAAAGCAATCGTAATTCCTCGAGAGAGTTATCAAAGGTTTCAGATCCCTTTAAGTTGGTAATAACTAGATGCTGCCCAAAGAATTGAGTTTTGACCAGCTCTAAGACATCTTTGAACTCAAGACCAGATCTCTGCATGAACTTCCGCTTAATGTTAGTCAATCCCTTATCCATACTTAGCATTATTTTATTACTATCATAGCCCCAGAGCATAGAAATCTCCCAGTTCGCAACGGCATCAATTTTCAACGATTTTGTTTTTGGTAGACCATTGAGTGTATCGGCCAGGATTCTCGGATAAAATGTCTGGCCAGTGATGGCAGAAAAATCTGACAGCGACAGTCTCAAAATTTCAGCGGCGTACTGCCTATCCAACACTTCTTGCGCTGCCACTTGGAGCCTCTCTATGAGGTCCATGTTTGTACGCAGTTGTACAGGCAAGTTGCTAAGAATGGAGTCTAGTGACTGGAATGTCCTGATGAAATGTGAAAATTTGAAAAGTCCCCAGCTTCTAAACGTTTCAAGGAGCAGGTCGCGCGAATAATCATATGGAAAGCATGAAAAGGGGTACATCTGAGCTTCGATCTTCGTCCTATATATCCCAAAGTCAATATTTCCTGGTCGATATACGGGCCCATGGCCATTATCAGCATCTGATTCGACTGTTTCAGGAGTCTGGTATGCTTGAATCACCTCTCCCTTCCCACTTATGTGGAATCGGATGTAGGACTCCAAGACCTCGGTCACAGAACTAATGTAAGGGATTAACGTCCGGGAGTTTGCACATGAAAGCTCAAGCTTCTCCAGGTCTGGCCGTCGAAGTGAAAGAACCTCCAGTAAGTTTTTTGGTTCTGATTTCGTGGGAGATTTATCTTGGGGAGCTGCAGCCAATATGTCATTTTTTAGGGTGAGTTCTACGGACTCTTTCGAGGCATTTGGTAAAGGAGTCTTTTGTAAAAGTAGCAAGAGATCTGCAAAATAAGCAGAAAGACTCGTCACCGAGCAACATTCTTCACAAGATACATCTTCTAGCCGGAAGATGTCCGTTAGATTATTGGGTGGCCGACCTGATGAGTTTGCGGCCGTTATCTTCCGGCCACTGTGGGGCTCTATAGGTACAAAGTCCTGTCGTCGATGTTCCATGAGAGCAAGCCACAGATGCTCGTTCCAGCAATCAACACGCTCAGCACAGTCATGCACTTTGAGAGTATTTTCCTCTTTCATGCCCGCTCTCTGCATCTGAGTAGAAAATTCTACCTTGTTTTTCAGTGAAATATCACGAACTGAATGGTAGTTTTCTCGCTCCAATAGAGGTACATCCTCTGGATCCTCTACAAGCCGTAACAGAGCTTTTATGGATTTGATAAGTGTGAGAGCGGCAGAAAAGTCGGACGCTAGCAGAGTAAACCCATTCTTCTCTATCTCTGCTGAGACCACGTTGTGTAAATGGGGTGCCTCAAGGTCAAGGGACTTAGAAAGCATCACTCTCAAAATCTTCTGAGCCGTTACCGCGCAAGCTTTGGAGACCGAGAATTTGCCGGCTTTGAGTAGAACGATAATGACCTCCAGGGACTCATTATTGTAGAAATTGGAGCGAAAGTCTTCAAGACTCTCGATAGTTATGGTGGAAGGGCGCTGACGAGCTCCGAGCCCTATCTCAAATTGCGCTTTTGGAAATAGGAGGGAAGCCAGGTTGTATATGGAGGGATCCTCGTTCAGTTGGTTTAGCAACCATCCGCACAATGTGGTATCATCGTTTGAATATCGGATCAGGGATTTGATGAACTGCAACAGCTCAACTATTGACAAAGGAAGGTCGCCTGCGGCTATTACTTCCTCGATGGCGCTCTGGTGGTCATCAGTAGAGTCTGAGACAATAGTGGACAGCTTTGAGGCTATCACTCGGGAATCTGAGCCAAAGGCGTTCAATTGACCCTTTAAGAAAGGCTGCAGCGCGGACATAGTTTTCTATACTATAGTGAAATGTAAGGCTGGAGCTTGAATAAAGGACTACACCAGACAGAAAGTTCATAGGGAAGCAGTAACTTAGGAGAAGTTAATATTTAACCACTCCAGAAGAAAAGAAAAGCTTTAACGAACTATCAGCTTCTCAGGATCCCCGATACAAAACGCTACGTGCGAGAACTACTAGCACAACGTGAGCAAGCTCAGCTGCTAAAGCGACAATGGGGTGTAAGTATCCGAGGACGACTAAAACTTCCCAAGTGGCTTTCGTACAAAGTCAAGTAGTCACCTATGATCGACAGAAAATAGATAGGCTCAATTTGGCAAGCGCCTGTACCGCACATAAGTCACCCTAGAGTCTGGAACGGGCAGACTGTTGTAGCTATAGCGGCTTTCCTGTCAGAATTAGGTAGGTGCGTATTCGGCTAACTGTTACCTAGCTGCACATGGGTGGTTTGATTCCATGACAGGCTTGAATTGGGTATGGGGTGATATACGGATGTCTTAGTCTCTACGGATACAGCGGTCGTGCAGTTGATCACAGAAAAATGGATTTTATTATAATGGACCTGGCTATCATTATGTCAGCTACACCCCTTACAGCTCCAGAATCAATCTAATCATTTATATGTCTATTCAGACTGACTTCTTCTTCTATTCCCGAATCTAACTAAAGAGTACCTGCGAATCTAAATTATTCTGATTAACCACTTGAACCATTGAATTATATACAGATTTTAATCAATAATATTTCATTCTTTTATTATTGTCACGGTGTAGAGGCACATGCTAGATCTGATTTATTTATATACGATAAGTATACTATAAGATTGATTAATGTGATTAATATAATTAAATCGTTATTGATTTGATTTATTAATAATTTAATAATTATTATTAAGAGCTATAGAGCTAATTAGAACAAATATCTCAATTCAGTTAAATGTTTAACAAATCTCGAAAACCCGAACTTGAAACTCAATTCAATTTGCTAAATCGAATTAAAAAGATCATTTGAATTATATCAAAAAATAAGACGAAACCCGAAAAAAAGAAACATATCGAATTGATTGATTAATTTTGTTAAAACCCCGAAAAATTCAAAGAGTCGTCGAAACCGAAATGAGATACATCCCTGTATAGGTCACTAGAAAAATAGATTCTATTATAGTGAGTGGAGTTGACTACTATTATACCAGCCGTACCCCTTAGAGCTCTAGTATCGATTTAATCATACATCATATGCCTATCCAGGCTAAATCTTTCTTCTATTACTATCCCGTTAACTTTTATAATCGGCACTAGGTATGTGTGTGTCGACCAGGGGTACGTGTTTGGATGCGTGCATTTAAAACGGCCCACCCCACCAGTTCAGCTCGGACGAGTTTATTAGCCACGACGCAACCCTTGCCTGTTACTAAACGGGCCATCCCACTGGCCTCTGCCCCACCTAGGTACCTTGAATACAACGGTTCAAGTTCAGCTGGGACGAGTTCAGCCGCGGAAACAATTTGTGTTTTTACGGAAAGGATCATCCCGCTAGCATCCACCTACGAAGGTTCTCAGCCGAGCAATTGCTGGAAAACTTGGGGTATGTTGGGTCTAGATTTCACTCTTATCATCTCTATGTGGATGATAGTCCTGAGAGTAGACAAGAACGACGACAATAATTTGACGACGTACAGGAGGAACGATATGATACTTAGGCTTACTATGATACGTTTAGCTCGGTCTTGCACAATGTGCGGGGCTTGGTCTAGATTTCTGACGTTCTTCGTTCGAAGATTGCGTCTGCGTGTCTTACCTTCGAACCTCCATCGATGGTTTACGAGAGTAGAAGCTGTGGCGTAGCTGAGCGAACAAGTTTGCCATGCGACTATGAAGACGACTATTGTGCACCACCAACATAAATCTGACCGAAGGACGAGTTTCTTTCTTTCCATATTGCTTCCATTATCATTGAGTTTGCTCTTGACATACTCGCACAATCACGTCGCTATGCCTTCCTTTACGCCTTTCACCCGCTACGATGTCTCGCTCAACACTGGTAGCGGTGATGGCAGCAATAAGAACTACTACGATCAAGTCTGTGCTATATCACAGAAAACCATTAACGAGAACTTTGTTCAACTCTTCAACCAACGTGAAGGACTTAAGCAAATCAGCTATTCGACACCGACTGAACTAGGGGGTGGTCTCCTGGAGGCCAGTTTGCTTCCCCCGCAGGTCAGGGTGGCTTTTAGCGGCGACAGTACACCTGAATTTCTCTATGAGATCCAGTATTTCAACCGATTTCTATTCCAGTTGGACTGCCTGTACTAATGGATACGCAGCATCAATGAGGGTTATATCACCTGGAGCCCTCAGAGATCCATCAAGATCGATGGGTGGGTCATTACCGTCAAAGCCACGTTGGAGGATATGGCAGTTACTCCGCAAGACGATGATGACGAAGATCAAGAGGCCCTGCGTATCGACGCGATGAGAGAGTTGAAGAAGAACTACAAGATCAACTCTAAATCAAAAGGACTCAAAGCTGGAGATTATTCCATCCAGAGGCTTTTTGTGGCATTCTCTGGTTCGTATGATCTCTTGCCAATTATGCTACATGATTTCCTCGGCATAACGGGACAGGTTAATAGTACGCTAATGTATAAACAGAATCTTCGTGGCAATCACCCAACGATGAGCACACATATGTCCCTGATCCCAAGTCCCCCAAGGATGCACCTAAATTGGTGAAACTTAGAGATTTGAGAGCCTCAACGGAGAGAGAACACTATATCTTTAGGCTTCTTGCCAAAGACGCTATTAAGGTGCTGGGCTATTGGGCTGAATCACGTCAGCACACGGCATATTTCACACTAGGGGTTCAGGTGCGACTACCACTTAGTGAAACCAAGGGTGAGCGCAATTGCGGAAAAATGGCCGAATGCGTGGCTAACATATCACTACAGAGGCGAAAAAGAGGGCCACCTTTAGTAAGGAACAGTGACCCATAGTACCTACAAACCGATAGAGATTTGGTACTGATTGAGTTTTATAGCTCCGTATGCAGTTAGCCTGCAGGCATATCCCTACTTTACCACCGAGGACCAAGTCAAGCAAATGAATCAAGATGGCACACTCCAGGGGAAGCCTGGACATGATTACAACTGCATATTGTGGTGTGAAACCGTAGAGCAGATGATTGATGGACAACTGTATCACAGAAGACTTCCGGAGCCAAGGAAGATCAACTATTCCGGCAACCTAGCCGAGGCACCAACCCCAAATTCCAGCGTGGATGTTGAGAAAACTGGCATGCCGGGCACTTTTATCCTAGACCATCGGCTTTTCCTAGAGCAGCGAATACTGAAGCCACTTCAAGAGCTTTGCGTTGCTACCAACCTTATCCCCATGAGACCTAAACTCTGGGTTAGCAATGGTACCCAAATGTTCACTTCAAGGCTTGCAATTGGAGTCGACCCTGATCCTGCAGAGATCGCAGATAGTGGAAACGAGTGGAGGGGTTCTCTATATCCCGAAGATGTGCCCAAGCAAGATCCAGCAAACGAATGGTTTCAATTCAAGCCTGATGGTCCAAATAGATATAAGTGGGAAAAGACCATTCATGCACCTGGAAGTGAAGACGTGACCCATACATTCCGGAACTGCAGTGGAGCACCGGTGTGGCGTAGATGGAAGATTAACTCAACAAACAGCGTGGTCGTTTCCTGGGAGTCGGGGGGGGATACTTTTCACGTGAAAGGCAGTACGTCTTATGACCATTGGGAAGCATGGAGCGGTCAAACGAGCAAATTTATGTGGGGAAGCTACGGAAGCGAGTGCTACCGTGGAGAGTAAGTTCTCGTACATCTGGACTGGCAAGCATTGGTCCAATTGCTAACAGCACCACAGCTTCAAGATTACCGCAGACTGGGGATTTTCCATTAAATTGAAGGTACCTCAGCCAGATCTGTCAATAGTCAATGAAACAGAGGATACAAATGGCATGATTCAGCCAGTGCTTATCTTGGTCAATAAAACAGAGGATAAAAATGGCACGATTCAGCCAGAGGTCATCTTGGAGAATAACAAGCTTCCGCCAATCGAAACCAAAAGAAGTGGAGGAGACTATGTAAAAGATAAAACGGATAAGAATTTCGAGACTCAAATCAATAAAAACTTTAGTACGCGACTTGAAATAGCCATAGAGAAGTTGAAAGCTGGGTTTGCTGGTAATGGCTGTTTCACGTACCCAGGTACTCGAACCTTATTGTTTGGTGATCCTACTATCAACAAACGTGGTGATATCATGTGCGTCCTTAAGTACAAGGAGTAAGCTCTCCCATATTCATCCTCAAAAGATGATACTGACGAACCTAGGCTGGAAAAAGACTTGGTCACCATCATCCCGCCTAGCCTAAACCAGATTCCGGATTCGGTGTCTCAAACGGGTAAGACCATTGGAACTGTTCCTATGGTCAACAAAAATCAACCACACATCAGCTGGGCGACATCGCAGCTCAAGTCTTATGACCCGGTAAAGAAGCGAGCTGTACTCATCCTTGAGGGGCGCAATATTAGCGAAACGCGCATGAGCTTTGAGAAATTTCAAGTAGTCTTCTTGCTACAGAACAAAGAAACCGGACTCTACTACAGAGAGGACTGGGCGAAGAAGCCCGAGGGGACAGATTGGTTCCATGATGCTTGTGATGCAGTTTCAACTGTAAAGGGGAAGATTGGCGAGTTAGTTGCTCATGGTGGAAAAGATTCATCAACTGCAACAATTGGTGCTTCTTTCGCACAGGATGTCGAAGTTGGAACATCTCAGAAAACTAAAGCAAACATGGGAATTCGTACTGAAATTATAACTTCAGGAGAAGACGACAGCAAATTTTCTGAATCTGTTAGTAGCAGGACGGAAGCAATATCATACGCGTCAGACTCGAAGCCTAAAGTTACTACGCCATCCGCACTCGTTGATGGGCCGTCAAACACTACAGCAGCCACAGTAGCCGAGTCGATCAAAACAACTCAGAGTCAACCAGAAGATGTAACCTTATTCCCAGAGACTACTCATCAGCCAGAGCTTGCTGCACCAGGTTCATTTGCTAAGAAGCAGTCAGAAACCACATCTGCGGTTACTGAACCGCTGGTTCCTATTGGACAGCCAACAGGAAAGCCCACAGATCCTCAGCTATTTCAATCGGCTGAGAAGCCCATCATTCAAGCAGTGGACAGCGCAACGGTCGCTCAGCCCCCTGCATCAGCTCCAGACCTGTCAGTCAAGCCCAAGCCCAAGATGCCCTCGGAGACATGGGCTCTCACCAAGGATAGAGTTAGCAAAGAACTAGCAGTCTCATTCACACTAGTTGATAATAAGTTCCCCCAGTTTGAAATCTCCCCCAAAGTTGGAAAGGTGACTGCTCGGGCAGCCAAATTCGCCATGATCTCTGACAAAGATGATAAATCTTTTATCTGCCTAGAACTAGACGGCTCAGTCGCTTCGGCAGGTACCTACATTGTCCAGATCACCGAGTATTATGATGATATTACGAAGGAAGAAGGCCTAGTCGTAGCCCATACTTTCTTGAAAGTTCTCTGCCAGGCGGGTGGAGGCGGTTCCGCTGATGTGGTCACGCAGGAGGAGTTCGATCAGCTCTCTCGTACATATGCTATTGAGAAGTAAAATTACTGTGGGCATCATCCAGATAGCGCAAGACTCATGAAAATGATATAAGTATTCTCGTACTCAATAACATGTGGGTGTCGGGATATCGATCATGTGATCAAAGAGGGCACTGTATTAGCTAGCATGGCGCTAGCACTTCACTATATTAAATACTAGCTTCCCAAAGATAATAATGATCAAGAACGAATACAACCATAATAGACTAAAGTACTTACACTTATCAACCAAGTTGATACCAACAGTATCACATTGATTAACGACAGTAAAGATAATCAGACGACAATGGTGCATGAGATCTGTATGCAATGAGACCTACCAAACTATAGCTAGCAATCATTTACTGTATACCTCTAGATTTTCTATCTACTGCCCAGACTCATATTATCAGATCTCAAAGAAATTTACTTACCGTGTGGTCACGGAATTTCCGATTCACTTGAGATCATTCCCATGATTTCGGATTATTAGACCTCCAATCCTGAAGTATAACATACAGGACCATAACAAGAGGTACCAGACAACTGTTTGCATATTTGATTGTTTTTCTGGCAAAAAAGAAAACTTCGCATTAACAAGACGATATGTTGCACAACTCCGTAAAAACAAGTTCACGGGGGTGCCATTTATTCTAATTGATATACAAACTTCAAGCTGGAAACCCCTGTCATTTGCGAGAACCCAGAAGGTGATAGTTGCTCAAACCTTTACACTCAATCCTGACTGCACCAGAGAAGGATTAGATGGATGACACGGATCTTGACTTCCTAATAAACAAGGATTTTAGCCTTTTAAATTGAGCAGCTACCACTTGTTCTTGTTGGGATCTTGGCTTAGCTATCAAGTTAAATTTCACATCGCAAGACCTTAAAGTAACGATTAACAAAATCATGTCTATCACTCCCGGCTCCTCAGCTGAGGCTCTCCCTGGTGGATCAGATGATGAATTCATTTTGAGGGATGACGATAGCATCGGTGTGATTATCAATGGACATAATCTCAACGATTCAGGCAAACTTATCCCAAAGCTCCTCATTCCTCGAAACCCTAGTCAAAATGCAAATGAAGAGTCCAACAAGAGCTTGAAAGATCCAATCCCTCAAGGACTGCCAAATGAGATTGCAGCTACAATCCGCACACTTTTGTGCCAAATCGGGGAAGATACAAACCGTGAAGGTCTCAGAAAAACACCCGACAGATACGCAAAAGCGATTCAATTTTTCACAAAAGGATACAAGGAGAAAGCGAATGAAGTGTTAAATGGCGCCATTTTCAATGAAGAAATTGAGGACATGGTGATTGTGAGCGATATTGATGTTTTCAGTTTGTGTGAACATCACATGTTGCCATTCTTTGGAAAGGTATATTTTTCCACCTTCCACTCCCCTAGAACTGTGTGCTTGCGTGCGAGAATTGATTTACAGGTTGATGAGAAGGTTTCCAAGTTTGAAGTCTACAGCTTCATTTTCAGAACTGCGTTGGATTGTTCTATAACATGCAAACAATTATTGCGAAGACAGTTATTTCCGACTCGAAAACCTTTCTCCGAAACCTTGTGCCCATCTATAAAGATCTGGAGACTCACTACTCGTACATAGACTAACCACATGTAAAATCAAGGTACATATTGGATACATTCCGAACGGACGAGTGCTCGGATTATCGAAATTTTCACGAATAGTCGAAATCTTCGCACGAAGATTACAAGTGCAAGAGCGCTTGACGACGCAGATAGCAGATGCAATAGAAGACGCGCTACAGCCACTAGGAGTCGCCGTCATTATAGAGTGTAAACATATGTGTATGATCATGAGAGGAGTAGAAAAGACGGGGTCTTTGACATCGACTCAATGTATGAGAGGTGTGTTGAAAGATGGAGTGAAGGAACGAAAGAACTTTCATGCACTGCTCGAACTGAGGAAGCGGAGCTAGTTGTTTGGTAGAGATAGAAATAAAAGTCAGTCGTTGAATTTGTAGTATTTACCGTACCTTGACATGCTTATATGATAATGAAATTCGAGAAAGAAATCCATACCATAACGACTGAGTATTTATTCGAGAATAACAGCCCCTAGAAGCTTCATGCTTAGGGATCTTTCGCTGTCGTAGCTTTTCATTGAGCATTGCTCCTTGTGATAGGCGCCAAGATTCAGAGCCTATTCACGATAGATAGGGGATTAGTCGGTGACACAGTATGTCTTTACAGAAAGCTTTGCCATTTTTGTTTGTATGACATCTGTTTCTCGTTTGCGTTTTCTGTTTGGCTGTCATTCCACCATTCAGCCATGGTCACACAAGTATTATAATATACAAGATAGCACAAAATGTCACCCACCACATTAGCCATCAGAATATTATTTGAGCCTGCACTTATATTAGTCAAACATCTTCATAAGTCGGGTACTCTACTTTCGGGCCACCCCTGTTTTGAGTCATCCTTTTATATCAAAAATCACTTTTTAGATTTATTAATATCTTTATTAATATATAATATAATTTAATAAAAACTTATATATAAATAATTTAAATCAATTTAAGTCTATTCTGAAATTTTTAGATTTTTAGGATTTTTTGTATTGAGAATTAAAAGTTTAAACTATTGATTTTTAAATTTATATAGAAATTATATATAAATTTAAAAATTTTATAAAATATTTAATAACTTTTTAATAATAATTATTAAAGAAAAATTATATATCTTTTTGAAAGATTTAAATTTCAATTTGTATAAAAATTCAAAAAAAAATTCAAAAAAAAATTCAAAAAAATTAACAGATATAAAAACATAATATATAGTGAATTAAAAGTAGTATAAATAATCCCTATTATTTTGAGAATATTCTTTTAAATATTTATTTATAAGAAATTTTCTTTTTTTTCTAAATTCATTAAATTAAACATATTATAAATTTATAATAAAATTTTATAATTTATTTTTAGTAATTTTTATTAAAATATTATTAAAGATTTTATAAAAGTTTCAAATTTGTATAGAATTTCTATACAAATTTAAAAATCGATATTTTGAAGTTTTAAATCTTAATACAAAAAAATCCTAAAAATCTGAAAATTTTAGAATAAGTTTAAATCAATCTAAATTATATATATATAAATTTTCATTAAATTCTATTTATAAATAAGAAAGTTAAAAATTCCATTTTTGATATATTTTTGGTATGAAAAGTGGCCCAAAAGGGGGGTGGCCAGAAAGTGGGGTACCCGACTTACTTCTTACCTATCCACTCAAAAGATGATTCTTCCCGCTGTTTCCAGTATCAAACCATTACATTTATGGCAGATTTAAAGCACCAAATCTTGTTAGTTTCCATGAAATGACGAGATCTGTTCTGGTAAGTGATTACATGTATAAACAATTGATGATTTCCCAATAGACTGTTAGTTTCCACAAATGCGTCTTATTTCCTTGGCACGTTGCGGGCGCATGACTGCATAAACTCGCTTTTGGGCTTTTTTGTTTGTAGAATCGATTATAACCACATCACTCTTTCATCAGCTCCATTTACGCATTGCTCAATCAACTAAAGCAATATGGTTAGTTTCGATGAATTGAAAAAGGCTCTTGTGAGGGATGTCACGACGGAGATGTCCCCGAATGAACCGTTATCTGACTCTCAGTACAACAAAGGTTTCGACATATTGATGGATGGATCAGAATGGAGCTCTTACGAAGACTTTATCATCCCCGAATTATCTCAACAGCTAGTCTCACTTCTCGCTACACGTTCCACTTTTTCAGTAATTGAGATTGGACCCGGTTCAAAGAGCGTACTTGGTTATGTGCCTCTCCATCTTAGACGGAAGATTAGAAGATACGCTGCATTTGAGCCCAACAAAATATCAGCTACAAGTTTGGAAGACTGGATTTCTTCTTGCCCGAAATCCAACTCGCCGTTTCCTTGCTTGGAAACTGCACCCAATATCTATAGAGCACCTTTTGTTTTCGATGATGAAGAGAAAAGCAATATCATCGAAACAGATCCTAGTAATGAAGGGCAAACTTTCGATCTCACTCTTTTTTGTCATAGTATGTATGGCATGAAGCCGAAAGAAACATTCATCAAAAAAGCGCTAAAAATGCTTGTTTCAAGCCCAGAAAGTGGAAAAGTAGTGATATTTCATCGCGACCAGTGCTTTGAGCTTGCTGGATTGACTTCTTATCGTACGGCTATCTTTCCAACAGGCACTATCTCTGTAGCAGACAAAAACGAGACATTGGATGCCTTTTCTCCCTTCGTGGCGGGTTTCATCAAGCAGGATGTGGAAGTGGATATTGCTTTACGAATCAAGTGGAGAGAGACATGTCGCACCTTGGCTTTTCATGATGAAAAGCTGCCAGGGTATCTGTTGTTCAGTTCGCCTCAGCGTATGGTATCCATGACAAGTGATGCGAATGTGTTACCCTATCTCGTATCACAGATACCATTAGCGAAAGAAGACCGAATTGTCAAAAGCTGGGAGGCTCGCTTGCATCGACCTACTTCGATCTTCAGGCCAACAACGGTGAAGCATGTCCAACAATGCATTCAATGGGCTCTGAAGCATAAATTAAAACTTACTGTAATTGGTGGTGGTCACAGCGCACACTGTCTGTGGCCCAATGTCGTCTCACTCGATATGGAAGCCTTCAATCGAGTACACGTTATCAACTCGAGTGATGGTGTAGATAAAGACAATACTCGTCTCGGCTCCACCTCTCTAATTGTAGCTGAGGCCGGATGCAAATCAGGAGATATCATTCAAAAAGCGATGGAGTTGGGTTTGACAGTGCCTTTGGGCTCTCGACCAAGTGTGGGAGCTGGCTTATGGTTACAAGGCGGCATTGGGCATTTATCTAGGCTTCATGGGCTGGCTTGCGACAATATCGTAGGTGCTGTTATAGTCAGTGTTATTTCTGGTCAGATCTTCCATATCGGACAAGTACCGACCCAAAATTTGCCAGCCGGTGCAATAAGACCCGAAAACGAAAACGATTTGTTGTGAGCAATCAAAGGCGCTGGAACAAACTTCGGGGTTGTTATTAGCGTCACTTTCAAAAGCTTTTGGGCTCCGAACTATTCCGTTCGCAAATGGATCTTTCCTGTCAGTAAAGACACCGACATTCGGCTCAAGCTTGGTGATGTCAACTCTATCGCTAAAGATCTTCCTCGGAGCTGTTCAATAAACGCATATCTCTACTCGGATAACAATCAGCTGCATCTTGGGGTGACCTTGTTTCAAGCTTCGAGGAACAAGAACTTCGAAGTGCCTCCTCTAGTAGACAGTATTCTGGGACCAGTCAACCAATGCGAGGAAGTGGATAGTGTCGGCTTATTTGAGACTGAAATGTACATGTCGACGATTCACGGCGGGCATGGAAAAACCTCCTCATTTAAGCGATGCTTGTTCTTCAATAATATTGAAGATGCTCAAATCATCGATATCTTAACAGCAGCTATCCGGAACCGCCCCACACCATTCTGCTATTTCCATCTGCTACATTGTGGTGGGGCAATTCGTGATAACACAACAGAAGCCTCTGCTTTTGAGTGCCGTGATTGGGAATTTGCCTGTGTCATCACTGGCGCCTGGTCTCGCAACCAAGTTGGAACTGAACCCGTTCAAACCACTGTTCAGTGGGTCTATGATATCGTCAAAAATTTGTTGCCATTTTGTAGCGGGGTCTACAGTGCCGACCTTGGACCAGACCCTAGGGATAGAACACTGGTGACTAATGCATTCGGAGTAAACTTGCCGCGTCTGGCACAGTTAAAACGTACTATGGACCCATACAATATTATAGCTTACGCCTGCCCATTGTTTGAGCCTCCGGTAAAACAGAAATTGGTCATTCTTGTCACAGGTGACAGTGCAGCTGGTAAAGACTTTTGCGCTGAGATCTGGGTCACCGTAATAACCGCATGCACCAGTCGAATGCTCACAGCACGTTCAGTGAGTATTAGTGATGCCACTAAGCGAGAATATGCCACAGAGACTGGTGCAGATATCAATCGGCTTCTTTTGGATCGTTCTTATAAAGAAGAACACCGACCAGCGTTGACAAAGTTCTACAAGAAACAGGTGGTCGATCGGCCTCGGTTACCAATGGAACACTTTGAGAGTGTTGTGCGCGATTCTGGTAATCTTGACGTGCTTTTCATTACTGGCATGAGAGACGAGGCGCCACTTACAAATTTCTCACACTTGGTACCAGACAGCAGAGTTCTCGATGTCCGGGTCAACGCTAGTCGAATGGTGCTTCGAGCTCGCAAAGGGGACCATGATGAAGAAATTAAAGCTACGAACCTCGATGGACCAAATCCGTCAAATTTAAATTATTGCCCGAGTCTCATCTTTGACAATGAGACAACAGGAAGTGAAGCTGCGGAAACTTTTGCAAAAAATTGTCTCCTGCCATTTCTACATGAGGACTTCACACGACTTGCAAATATGGTACGAGCAGTACCCAATCATCCACGTCAGGGTGTGATTTTTCGTCGCGTACTGGACATTTGTCAACAACCGGGTGGATTGACCTTATGCACAGATCTGCTGCAACGACACTTCATTGGTGAATGGGCTAAAGTCGATACTCTAGTTTGTTGCGAATCTGGTGGGTTTGTGTTTGCATCAGCTTTAGGAGCTCGGACTGGTATACCATTGGCATTGGTTCGAGGATCTGGCAAATTACCCCCACTCACTATCTCAGTCGAAAAGTCGCCATCACATATCTCGTCTACGGAATCGGGCGAGTTACAACAGAAAAGTTTTGAGATGGATCCAGGTCTGGTTAGCAAAAGTAACTCTGTTGTGGTCGTGGATGATGTACTTGCAACGGGAAGGACACTCTGTGCAGTGCTAAAGTTATTGATGAAAGCTGGCGTTGGGGCTAAGGATATCAGAGTTATGGTCGTTGCCGAGTTCCCTACTCATAGTGGCCGAGAATTCTTACGTCGGGAAGGTTTTGGGGAAGTCAGGATTCAAAGCCTTTTGGTTTTTGGTGGTATTTAAGAGGAAAAGTTCTTGTCACATATTTACCCAAGAGTCTTGGTAATGTTAGGTTAAATCATGCAGCTCTTTTAATCCATGTTAATTCAGCATGCAGGTCACCAATCTGCTCGCTAGTTGGCGGAATTTGTAAACTAGATTATTCAAAATGAACTATACCTCCTGGGATGATGATAATATCGCGATGATCTGACAGCAACAGAGTCCACAGGCTAAGAATCTACTGTAAAATTACTCTAGTCTTTTGCTCCACAGCGGGAGAAGACATAGTGCGGCACTTATTAAAGATCATCTCTATACCCGGTCACGAAGGAGTCCCATGAGATCAGTTAAGAAACCGTCTTCACTATCACTGGTGGAAGTTGAGAGCTATAACTACTCTGTTATATAGTATTGCGAACATAATTTGGCAAAGGCTCCACTGTAATGTTCTTGCCCACTCGAAACAAGAACTTTGGCTCAGGTAAAGAGTCGAGCGGGGAAAATATAATTTTGAGGTCCAAAAGAGAGAACATGTTAATGACTCGATTCACAATCAAGCCTTCGAGCATAAAACTCCAGTCTGCCAAAGAACAGCCCCAGCTGCATTTTTAAATGAGTGATTGAAAAGACAGAAATGTAATATGTTGCAAGCAGTGATGCCAAGTAATGATCAAGCGAGCTCATTGCCTTCAAATCCTTCACACTATTTTAATAAATTTGAAGACTGACAACAGCAATTTCATGCTAAGATACGACAATGTTCAAGAGACAATGACAACAAGCAACAACCATTCACAGCTTCCACACCTCTTCTGAAACAAAGAGCAAAGACAAATGGATATTCACACAACACAAGACATCGAACTACATGCCACATCTCCCACCTAGATACTGGATCTGCTCAGAATTCGTGTCTTGGGAATATTAAAAAGAAAGCCAAACAGGGATTTATATACCTCCCTCGCGCAGAAATCTTACAAACCCCTCAACCGATCTCCAAATCTTGTGCAAATTGATGCTCTTTCCTTCTACAAACAATTGCATCCTGAACTCTGCGCAACTATCACTTCCCAGATAAACATTCTTGGGTGTATAAATTCCTCTTACCCATCATCATATTACAGATACAGGATTAGACCAGTCGTTGGCTACACCACTCAAGATGCGCTTCGAGACTGCTGCTTAGTCTAAGCCAGGTTATATTTTAAAGAGGGGGGGGGGGGGGGGGGGAGGGGAAGGGGGGGGTACTATACGATAAATTTAATTCCGAGATCCTCGCCGTCTTAGAGGGATATATCGACATTAAAAATGCCCATTTACTGATGGAAAGAACTCGAAGAATGACAGTGGACAACCATCGACAGTAAGTCTATTCGACAACAAAAACTTTGAAACCATTCTTACGACTCATGAGCCCAACCCACATTCTTCCATTCAATCAGCAAGCTACACAATCGAAAATTCCTCATCCTCTCGCCTTTCCTTACTGCTCTCTGATTCCTTGCTCTGACAATCCTTCGGTATCTAATTTCCCCACATCCGTAGAATACATGATCAATTTATACTCAATCACGCTCCTCAAAGTTTCTGCGTGGGAGAAACAGGAGTTCAAGCGAGTCCACTAGACATTCTGTCGCCAGAGTCTAGCTCCGATTCGCCTGTCTTGAGATACGAACTTCTGAGATAAAGATACCCTATCAATAAACTCATCACCCAACTTATTCTGAATAGGTAAGAGTTGGGGCTATCGCTCACCGTACAGGTAACGCTTTTCCGGCTAAAATACAGGATTATTCATCTTTTTATATTCTAGTTTATTTACTAAGTCGGTTACCCTACTTTCGGGCCACCCCTGTTTTGGGCCACCCTTTCACACCAAAAATCACTTTTTAGGCCTATTAATATCTCTATCAATATTCAATATAATTCGATGAAAATTTATATGTATATAATTTAGATCAATTTAAGCTTATTATGAAATTTTTAGATTTTTGGGATTTTTCTGTATTGAGAACTAGAGCTTCAAAATATCGATTTTTAAATTTATATGGGAATCACATATAAATTTAAATTTTTTATAAAATCTTGAATAACTTTCTAATAAAAATTGCTAAAAATAAACTATAAAATTTTACTATAAATTTATAGTATATTTAATATAAGAGATTTAGAAAAAATAGAAAATTTCTTATAAATAAATATTTATAGGGGTACCCTCAAATTGACAGGGATTATTTATACTATTCTAAACTCACTGTATATTATATCTCTATATCTGTTAATTTTTTCGAATTTTTTTTTGAATATTTATATAGATTTAAGTTTAAATATCTCAAAAATATATATGGTTTTCTTTTGATAATTGTTGTTAAAAAGTTATTAAAGATTTTATAAAAGTTTCAAATTTATATGTAATTCTTATACAAATTTGAAAATCGATATTTCGAAACTCTAGATTTCAATACAAAAAAATCCTAAGAATCTAAAAATTTCAGAATAAGCTTAAATCGATTTAAATTATATATACACAAATTTTTATTGAATTCTATCTCTTAATAAGAAAGTTATAAATTCCATTTTTGGTGTATTTTTAGTATAAAAAGTAGCCCAAAAGGGGGGTGGCCCGAAAGTGGGGTACCCGACTTATAATGGGAGATAAAATTCAAAATTCTATTATAAAACTATTCAGAATTATTGGAATTGTTTAAAAAAATATATTGTTTATTTTTAAATATTTTTATAATAGTATTTTCAAAAGGTTAAAATTGGAAATTCAAAAAACTTTCAAAAATTTGCTTATTTTGTATAGAAAAAGCATTACAAATTAAAAATTCTAGGATTTTTCAATTAAAAGTTTATATAATTATTTAATAAAAATATTTAAAAATAAATTAGAAAATTTTTTATATATATAATGATTCAAATTATTCATTATAAAGTTTTTATAATTTAATATTAATAATCGAATTAATTATATAGTATTTTAGTTTATATAAAAAAATATAAATTTTGTAGGGATTATATTACAAAACGTTACGGTGTGCGGTGAGCGATGGTTATAACTCTTACATATAAAGGACCCAAGTACTCGTGCTTACAAAAGAACAATTTCCACACCAGACTGAAAAAACTAGAATACAGCGTAAAATTTCCGTAAGCTAAGGTTTTCCCAGGGAATGTTCTGAGATTCTGAGATTCTGAGCAATTCTTACTTGTTTGTAATAGGCTTTATCTACAGCAAATAAATGAAATAAAATCGGAGAATAAACATACTCTTGATTTCGAGTAGTATTATCGAAATCCTAATGTTTAATTTTTATAATACAAATTCAATTATTGACAACCAAACTTGCGATTCTATACTAATAATAACAATAATAGTAAAATAATATAAACCTCGAAACCTCGAAACGACACTCCCATCTAAAATGAAAACCAAAGACCACCTCAGAAGACAGGACAGGGTGTTTAGTGATGGATCATGAGTTGTATTTTCTAAGAAGGGTACCTAGCAAGAGAGAATATCCCTTTATATAATTCCACTTGATTACTAATCCGTCCTTTATGGAAAGCTTCGAATTCTTAGATGTAAGATCTTACCTATGTAACCACCCGTGGACTCCATCATTATACCCCCCATCCGCACCCACATCCCACATTCCATATCCCACAAAATCCAAAGATCAACACAAATATCTTTCCATCTACCTACTATCGTACAACTAATCCCATGGAAAAACCTTACCCTACCTACCTACCACCCTCAACAAACACAGCCCCATAATTGCACGCACCAAAACCATTGATACGCGCAGACGAAACTTATAAATTTCCCCTCCTCCTTATATTTTCCTTTTTGAAATACTACACTTCTTCAAATTCTAACAAATAAGCAAGATAAATCTCGAATATTCATATATACACCTATATACAATCATTTCGAACGATATCTTCATATTCTCAAAGTGAAAGAATTCTTTGATTCCAAGTAGAGAAATTCATACAATCATCGCGTCGCAGTAAAATTAAAAAGTATGTAACGATGACCATAACCATCAACATCCAATTCAATCCCGAACATCAAATCTCAACCCCTTATCTCCTCCTCCCCCTCTCCCTCTCCCTTTCCCTCCCACAACCACTCGACTCCATCCTCCTATTCCCCCCCTCTCCCCTCCAACTCCTCACCGGCCTTCCAAATTCCCCACATTCCCCTCTCATTTCTATTCCTCTCCGTAAACTTCTTCCCCTTGAGTTCTTAACCGGTTTGCTCCAACCTAGAATTCCTCTTCTCTCAATTACTACCCATGTATTCCTCCTCCTCCTTCTTCTTCTTCTATTCCCTCCTCTTTCCCATTCACGACTGCTGTTTCTCCTATCATAACAATCATTATCATCCGTTTTCCAATCCCTCTCTCTCCTTATCCTCCTATATCTCCTTCCTCTCCCTCTCCTCTCATTTCTCACAACCGCTTTATCAATCCTCCTAACCCCACCACCATCACCATCATCATACTCACATCTCATCTCCCATTCCTCTCTACCCCCACCTCTCGCACCACTTTTCAAGTTTCTTCCTCGTCCTTCTCCATTATCTCTCCTCTCCCCATACATAATTTCATCCCCATCTCCATCATACCTCGCATTCCAGCCCGCAGATCGTCTATCAACACAGCACTTATATCCAAACACCAACAACACCAGGAACCCCAATATAGAACCCAACACAATTCCCACAATCGCACCACTGCTCAAATCCATCGTCTCCGCTACATTGACTTGTGGCGTCGTTGACCTGGGATTTATAACAGCAACAGGAATTGTAACTGATCTGGTGGTAGAGAGTTGATCTTTAAATTTTGAAGCAGCGCTTGAATCGAGGAGAATGGTAGCGGCAGAAGATATACCTCGTCGGGTCATAGTCTGTGTTATCTCCTTTGAAACACCAGGAAAAATCGTCGTGTGAGGAACAGTTCGAGTCTGTCGGGTCATAGGAGCCATTATAATCGTGAGTAGTGGGTTGTGTAGAATTTGACCAAGCAGGCTTTGAGAGAGTTCCGAGTTCTATATCCATCATATTTAAGATGCAAAATATACCGAGGGGTTTTATAACAATCGTGATGCTTTTCTGTATACGCCCGGTTTCTTTGAAGAAGTCAATAGCCTCATGACGAGGTATCCACACGGTGAGTGTTTTGAGCCGCTTGAAGAGGGGGTGCACAGATATACATCATTCATCACGGTCAATTTTTCCAGATGTTAGAATCCGAACCGATAGATTGGGTAAGTTGCATTGCAGTAAACTAATGCTGTCAGCATTGTGTAGCATATCCTTCAGGCTGATTTGTCGAGATTCAGAGACATATGTACGAGAAGGCTGAAGAAGGTAAAGGTTAAATGCAGCCGCTGAACGATCCGAAACCCTGATTACTCTCACATCATAGTACCTCTACCAATTTTGATCATAGTTATTACCAGGTTGACCAGTATAAGCAGGAAGATCCCCATCCAATAATGTTTGCCAATATTCCCAGTCCATAGGAGTGATATCGGGCATTGAAGTATCAAGGAATGAATCTGAAGCGAGCCATGGTTGTTCTTGAGGCATTTGCATTGGCATCTGCATTGAAGGTCCTGGTTGTGATGGTTGTGGTGGTGGTATGTAATCAGGTGGCTTTTGTCTAACATAAGATTCGGCTGTAGCTGGCATTTGCCAGTGATTCACCGTTCTAAATGGATCCGAAATATCATCATGTTGCTCTATAGATCTTTGAACTTGGTCGTGCTTTTGTCTTTGAGATCTTAAGATTGATATAAATCTTGGCGGGGTAACTTGATCTGGTGAACGACTACCTTCTTCTCTTTTCTCCCAAGCTTTGAGTACCAAATTACCCAAGGCAAAGTATAAACTACTTTTGGTATCGTTAAGCATTTCTGCGCGAAACTCATATGCAAGTTCGACTTGTTGCCATGCTTTATCAACTAATTCTCCCCTTTCCCTACGTCGAAGCTCGCTGAGCAAATAAATAAATGCGTCCAGTTGAAAATGCACATGAATATGCCACAGATATCTTTGAACAAGCTTTTCTGAATGACCTAGACCATCATATTCAAGCATCTTCAATGATTCATTGAAAAGCATATCTCTTTCCTTCTGTGGCATACTTGCACCTTTATCAGGATATTGTCTTGGATGATGAGCCATTAATCTCATTGTACAAATGACAGATTTCGCAACATAAATCGATAACAAATGTAAGGGTATCGATGGATCACAGTATTGTAAATACTTCTCCTGGAGTCTTGCCTCCAATTCATCAATAGTTTTATCCTTTTCGGCAATGACATTGAAACCAGGAGGAATATCTGAGGGACCACCACCGTGATGGCCGCCGCCTCTATGTCCACCACGGCCACCTCCCCCATGCCCATGCCCATTACCACGTCCCCCATTGCCAAAGCTATTAGCTTTTCGTATAGCTTGTGAAACTTCGTATCGAATACAACAGAAAAGCATTTCAGTTGCACCTGCGCGCTCGGGTGGAGGTTCTATCATGTCGGGGGTAAGATCACTATCGCTAACATTTAGTGGTAACTTTGTATCGAATTTCGCGAGCCACTACATGTCAAGTCAGTAAAGCTTAAGTGTACATGAAGAATGACTCCGAGCTGAACAAAGAGATATGAATTTGTAGTGAGAAGACCTGCAGGCCGAGAGTGGATGGACACAGAGTATATACTTACGGCGGGAAATCCAGCTCCACATAACTTCGCAGCAAAACCATCAAGAAAAACAATCTGCCACCAAACTCTTCTTCTCATTTCCGTGTCGAAAGGAGATAAATTATGAGACGATCCATCACGATGAATACCCAATCTTTGACCAATTCGAACGGCAGAACCTGTCAAAATCCAAAATGCATGAGCATCATAATGCTTACGAGCTGCAAGCTATTCATTTGAAGTCAGTGAGAAGCACAGGGTCATTTGAGTATGTCGGAGAGGGGTGGTAGGGTCGTCTAGGTCGTTCGGTTCGAGTAAAAGGAGTCGAGGGGTATTTATAACAACTTACAAGAAATAAACAATAAGCCTGTAAAGCAGTCAAATTGAGAGATTTAATATATTTGACATTTATGAGGGCTTGTTGCGTGGCATGAGAATATCTCGTCAAAAGTATTGATCTTGGTTCATCGAATGTACTTTCACATTCATCATCTTTCAGTGAGCCAATGGAGAGGAGGTATATAACGAACATTAAGGCTTCTGTAGGTTTCGGAATATGATCCATATCTGATGTTGCTTCTAAAATCATCTCTTGAACTGTAGGAGCATGAAACAATTTGATCAATGGATTTACATTGGTCAGAAAAATTTGCCATAACCTAAAGATTGTGACAGGTTGTGGATGAAGACTTCTGAGATTTCTTTTTGAGCTGATCAAGTTGCCAAGAAGAATTGTTGATTCCTCGGGAAAGAGAGCATTATCATTGCTATCGTCTTCTTCCGATGGGACTTGAAATGCTTCTTTTGGGTCTTGTAATTCATTGCTGAGATTCTCCCAGACAGTACTAGAACTAGTTAGCAATGCATTTGAATGACCTAGTCGGGTAAAAGAAGTCCAACGAGAGCCACCCACTTTTCTATGTAACGAGAGTTACCATGTTTAGAGTACAATCGACCTCTTCCAGCTTTCGAACCACGAGCACAGCCCATAGAACGATGCCCATGTAATTCATGAGAACTATGATTACATTGATGTTCATGTGGACCATTGTGATTATCGTAATTTTCGGTCCCGATTGCTGTAGTGGTAGCTACTGGATCTTTACCTTTATTGGTTATTGAAAGGTTTTGTGGATTAGGATTGGGCGTCTTTTCTTGGCGACTCGAAATTGATTCATCAGCATTTCCGTCTTCAGTGCCACTTGCATTTGCACTTCCAACACCACCAGTAACACCATCGTCGTCGATTCGGATTCCATTAACCCTCAATAAATGTTCATATTTCCTCAATCTTGCTGCAACGTCTAATTCGCTAAGCTTCCGTCTCCTTCGACGTGGAGCAGCAGGCGTGCTTGGAATACATTCAGCATGTGCTTTGACGCAATTTGAACATTGAGGTTTTTGCCGGTCGCATCGTACTTTTCTCTGTTGACAGAGAATACAAGAATGGCCACGAGTTATCTTTTGATGAATGGGTTGGGCTGGAGGTGTTGGTATAGTTGGACCCGGAGGTTGAGGAGCTGATTCCATAATGATATGAAGATATACAATGTGTGAAGATCAAAGCCACCGCAGCCGTAACCTATGAGAGAGAGGACGATTGATGTGATGAAGGGGTCGTGAGCTGACGATGTAGTTGAATAACTTGACTCGTATTGTATTCGTATGTACCTACCACGTTCGTATCCAATGGCCGGAGATTCGGAACCGTCGGGATTTTGGGTCCAAACTATAAATATAATATAAATAAAGGCTTTTCTTGCTGACTTTTTTCCTGTTTGCTTTGGGGTAAATGCGTGGTCGGATGCTTCAATGTGGATGCAGTCTTCAAAGTCACATAAAGCCCCCTTTCGGGTAATATCAAGTGATATATATATGATGAAGTAAGAATATTCTGAATTTGATAGTATTCAGTAAGGTTATTGGTGAGATGATTGTACAAGGCTACAAGTGGTGGTGTATACTGAGTATGTATGTGTGTATTGATGGTGGTTTGGTTCTTGGAATCAATTTCTCGAGGTGTCGGGTGTCGGGGTCGGAGGTTCGGCGTCTCTTCGGTCCCGACAATGTTCTTTCCTTGATTGTTCAACCTCTTTCGAGCTTTCTTATTGGATGAAAGGAGGAAGAAAGACTCGTGAGCCTTGTGAGCCTCGTGAGCCTCGTGAACCTCGTTATTGCTTCATTTGGTAGGATGTTGGTGTGAAAGTAACAAGACAACATTCTTCCTCTGTTGAATGGTAGAAAAACTACTGGATTTCAATATCTTCTGTCAACTCTATTTTATCCTTTGATCCCTCTATCAGCTGTGTATACCTGTCCATTCCTGTTTTCATAACAATGCAACTCTCTTGCTATTGACTTCATCATTCTACTCTCCTCTACTCATAAGGCTTCATGAAATCTCGTTGTCTTCAAATTTGGGTGACAAGCGAGTCTATCAGCCTTCTGTTCTCACTTTTTGTTCTTTCAATACTTTTCTCGCCAAACCATCTTGACATGACTTCTTCGCACACACAACATTAAGATCGAGTATTAACAAAGTACCAATTGGTCGTTATTCTACTTCTATTCAGACTTCAAGTCCTATAAACATCGTACGTGCTTCAATTATGCTTCCTCGTCCATTGCCCCAAGGTCAACGACTTGATCTTGTAAGCTTCCTAGCTCAAGACCCATTGCCAGCTTCGATTTCTCAAATTGCATCTGAAATTCAATTCTTGAGAGAATGCCCTCAAGTAACTACTAACAAGAGAAAGGCCAAGATGGTTCGTCCTGCGTTCGAATCGGATAATTCTGGTGAATCCGCAGCACTCAGCTCCTTCGGTGTTCCATTATCAACCACTTCCAATCGCAATGGTCGCGTCAATCGCTGGGGAACTAGAGTCAACGATGCGAATGGACAATATCCTGGATTAGGAAAAATGATTGTCACTATGTTATCTCTCTACCTGATTACGCTGATTGTAGCTCTTGTAAGTCCTTTCCTTTGCAGACGCGAATCCATCTCATATTCCTCGAATTTAACTCTTGATTGTTCCTTCTAATTCTAACCCATTTCATATCTCTTCTCTTCCTCAATATTTCCTTGACTCAGAATATCCTAAGACCTCTCAAGCAATGCATACTATCACTTCTGCATACTGCAATTCCGAACTTCCAACGCCTCCTTCCGTTTACGAGCAATGCAGTGATACTAACAAAACTTAGGATCGAACAATTCTTAGTACTGCTATCCCAGCTATCACCAATGAGTTTAACACACTTGAAGATATCGGATGGTATGCTTCTGCATATCTTTTAACAAGCTGTGCTACTCAATTGGTTTTCGGAAAAATCTATAAGTTCTACAACTATAAATGGGTTCTGATGATCGCAGTTATTATTTTTGAGGTTGGGGTGAGCGATCTTTCTACACACGTATCTACCACCGTTTTAATTCATATTTAGTCTGCTGTATGTGGCTCCGCCTCAAGCTCTAAGGTTTTTATATTCGGTAGAGCAATTGGTAAGTCGTCCTCTGTCCTTTTTATATCAATCTTCGGAACTGACACAGTGAAGCTGGCCTAGGTTCTTCGGGTATCCGTAAGTGCGAGTGATGCATGACTTGAGTTTCTCTGTTTTCGATTCTGCATGAAGCTTCTACATACAACACCATCATTGAGTTGTGTGATTTATCTTCTTCTTTTCATGCTCTCCGAAAAGTTCTCTGGTAAGAAAATCACTGACTGTTTGATATTTTAGTCAATGGAGCTATAATAATCCTGAACGAAACCGTGCCACTTCATCGTCGCCCTATTTTCATGAGTAAGAGATACAGACCACTGGGAAACTCAAGTATTTCAAGCTAACATGGAAATAAAGGTTTATTATGGTGTATGTTCGCTATCGCCACAGTATGTGGACCTTTAATTGGAGGCGTCTTCACCGAAAAAGCCACTTGGAGATGGTGCTTCTACATCAACCTGCCAGTGGGCGGAGCTGCTGTATTCATTCTACTCTTCGTTGTCGAAGGAAAATCTAGGGAAAATACGGACACTTTTCTCCAAAAGCTTCGAAGAATGGATCCCATCGGAACACTCGTCTTCTTTGCAGGTATCGTTTGCATACTTCTAGCATTGCAATTTGGAGGCAATCTATACAGCTTGGGTGATACAAGAAGCATCCTCCTCTTCATTTTGGGTGGCATTTTACTCATAACATTCGTCACGATCCAATTTACGTCCGGAGATGATGCAACAGTGCCAATTCGAATTATCAAGCAAAGATCTGTTGCTTCGGTAGCATGGTTTTCTTTTTTAAACTCATGTTCTTTCTATCTTGTTGTCTACTACATTCCAATCTGGTTCCAAGCTGTTCAAGGTCTTGACGCATTCGGTTCTGGTCTTCATACACTCCCATTGGTCTTAGCTCTGGTCTTTGCCACCCTATTCGCGGCAATATTCCAAAGATCCATTGGCTACTATGTTCCAATGATTGTTGTATCATCAATCATCGCACCGGTTGGCGCAGGACTTCTCACCACATTACAAGTAAATAGTGGACCAAAAGAATGGATGAGTTGGCCAGTTGTCTTTGGATCGGGTCTCGGTTTAGGTATACAGCAGATCAGTTTAGCAGTTCAAGCATCTCTTCCAGATGATGATATATCAATTGGTCTTGCACTTATACCTTTCTTCCAAACTCTTGGGGATACGATTTTCGTCACCATTGGTCAAGCCATCTTCTCTCATGAATTGGTCAAAAATCTTTCGGCTCTCAATCTTCCCTCCTTACCAACCTCACTTATCTTACACACGGGTGCTACAGAACTTCGAACTCTCATTCCAGCGCAATATCTTCCAGAGGTTTTGTTAGCATATAACGCAGCTATCATGAAGGTTTTTCTTTTGGCTATTATCACAAGTGCTCTTACGGTTTTTACGGGTCTAACTTTGGAATGGAAGAATGTTAATCAAGTCAAGAAAAACTTTGAAGTTACAAGACGATCGATTTATCAATATCATGGTGAAGGAGACTGTCCATTTCCTTTGTATGATGCTAGCAGTTCTGAACACGTACAGCTTGGACTTGTTGATACACAGAGCAAGCCTATCATGGAAACAAAACTTGGCAGTGATCTTCAAAAACAATTGGAAACTATTAGGGAGGAGCGGGAAAAGTCTAGCTCTGCTGAGACTAATCCTCATGTTATCAAAGCTTCTACCTATACAAAGACTACTACTGTAGTTGATGTTTCAGAGAAGAATGAGGATGAGATTGAAGTTGTGGGATGAGTGGATATGGAGTGTTTATGAATGATGAATATCACGATAAATGAGAAATGATGGATACGAGATGAGATAATGGAGTACGTTTTTACGATAGTTTAGTCTTTACGCTTCTAGTCAAATAAGCAGGATGGTAGAGTTGCGCTTTTGTACAAACCGTGAAGCAGAAAATAGTCGCCTCTAATAATTCATGAAAGAATAATTGCAATCTTTGACTCTTCTAATGAATCTCTTGAGACTTTCGGGCTCTGGCAGTAGAGAAGATAGTTTGCCTGCAGATGTTACTGTTTTTTGAGTTTTCAGTTGTTGAATTGTTATATCATCTTCGTTTAGCCCTTTTCAGTCTGCGTTTCTCACTCCCAAAATAAAAACAAGAGGATAATCAGTCTGTTCTTTGTACATTATTATGTTAAGAAAATAGTTGCTGTTGCTTGTTCTGGACTTGGCTGTATTTTCAAATCATCTCATAATCTTCCTCTCATTCTCCTCTTGCTCGCAGTTCCAAAAACCTCTCTAATTTGTCTGAGTAGGTGGGGATGAAAGGGGGAATATCATGTATTATTATATTATAAGCTATTATTCAACTAAATAAGTATACTTTTCGATTAATATATTTCGATCTTAGCCCTAATACATGAGGAGATGTTAGATTAAATCTAATATCATATTTTTCGAGCGTAATATTAAGCTTTATATTTATTGATTGATTTGAATAAAGATATTTGTTGAATGTGATATTGAGTTTAGTAAAGTATTGAGTAGAATATGTTAGTTTGAAGAGATTTTGAGTGTTTTTTTGTATAGTGGTTGATGGTGAAGAGTAAGTCTTTGATGCTGATGAGATATGTTTGAAGGGAATCAATATGTGTTGTTTTAGATATATTAGCTTTTTTCAGATATGTAAGAAATTAATTTAAAGATATTCTGATTATTAAGATAGTTTTATTGCAGCTATTAATTCCAATCTTATATTCATGATTATCTTGTTTTATATCTCACTTTTTCTTTCTGATTATTACTTTTCATAAAAATATATTAATAAATTAAGTTTCTTTTCTTCTTCTTTTTCAACTTACTACCTCATCTCATAATCCCCTCTCAACCTCCTCTTCTCTTCCCCTCCCTCCCAAAAATCCCTCTAATCCCCCTCCCCCACCTCCTCCACACCACCCTTCCCTTTCCCCTCCCCTCTCCCCCTCTCTCTGCACCCTCCTCCCCCAAAAACCTCTCCCAATACCCCTCCCACCCCTCCCAAAACCCTACACACCCCTCTTCCCAACCCCCCCAATACAACACCTCCCCCATCCAACTCGGCATCGCTTCTTCCCGCACCCCCTGCTCCTCACTCAATTCCTGCACAACAAGCCTCTTCATCTCCTCTCCTTTTTCGCGGAGTTCCATATTCAGGAGTGAGATTCGATGGGTGAGTTTTTGTCGCGCGAGTTCGTTTTCGTGCGCGCAGAGCGCGAGGTGTGCGTACCGTCGCGAACGGAGGAGTTTGTTGTAGAGGTGGTGGTCGAGGTGGGAGAGGGAGGAGAGGGGGGGTGGGGCGTAGGAGGGGGAATGAGAGGAGGGGGAGAGAGAGGATGATGGTGATAGGGATTGATGGGGTGAGGAGGCTGTGCGGTTGTATTTCGATTGGGACTGCAGATATGGTTTATCGGGGTGGGAGTGAAAGTATTCCATTATTTGCGCATCAAGAGTTTCTTGGTATGATTCTAAAGATGGGGTTTCGGGTGCGTGGAGAGAAGTGGGAGATGAGGAGGAGGAAGAGTAGGCATATTCAGATGGAGATGTATGGTTCGAATACTCGGAGTCGGAATTGGAGTCTATGGTGTAAATAGAAGCGGGAGGTGTAGGAGGATTTCTGTGGGAAGTATTAGATTGCTTTTGAGGAGTTGATGTTTGGGTATGTGAATTTGAATGGGCTTTTGAAGATGGATCTTGGAGTGTTTTCTTGGTATTGGCTTTTGATGGCATGTTGATTTTGATGACAGAGAGAAAAAATAATGGATTAATGAAGAATCGATAGAAATGGATAAACTTGTTGAAGGTTTCTCACTCGGTATAGTATGCAATATATGGAGAAAATAATATACAAGAAATAATTATATCGAATGCTGACTTCGGCCGGGTTTGTAGGTTATATATATGACACTATATTATTCTTCTACCTGTATTTTTTGGGCCGTGTATTGCCAACAAGACGGTCCTTGGTCAGACATTGGGTCAATAAAACAGAATTTTTAATTCCGTCATAGTGAGGCCGGAATAGAGACCGAATGTTCTGTAGGGCTGAGATCTCGGATCTGGAACATTTTTTGGAGTGGATTTTTTCGGGGTCGGGAAGTAGGTCGGGGAAGGAAAAGAAATAGGTTGAGTCGAGACAAGGCTCCTAGAAAATAAACTACAAATGCGGCACAACCATTGTCCAATCCGGCGTCCCATACGCGCCGACCGGCAACTTCCTAATACTAATAAATGCCTCGACCACCAAGTAAATTCTCGCAACCACATATGCTATACCACAAACTGTACACAAAAACCCAATCACCAAATAGCTACTCCAATGTTCTTTCAAAGCTAGAAAACGATCCCAGAACTGGTCGATGGGCTTAATAGCCCGAGCAAGTCCATTGATAAATAACCATAATAGTCCAGAAAGGGCGATATATACAGCGCTGGCTCTCCACATCCATTGTTCGAAGAGAGAGGGAAAATAATCATACCAGGCCGCTGCATGCACGGCTCCAAACGCAATGCTGGCTAGCCATAATGTCATGCCCATGACGAGACCACCAGTGCTACGGAGGAGATCTTCACCGGGCCAGTTACCCGCGGAGAGAGAAACGAGTTGTTCGATTAGAGGCTCGTGAATATGGTGGGCGGGCTGGCCAGGAGAAGCTGGAATGGTGTTGATAGTAAAACGGGAGCGGAGCGCAGGGTGGGTATGGATTGCTTTTGCTGCTAGTTGCCAACGGGTAAGTTGCTCAAGACTAGCATTAAGTAGGTATTTAGTATTTTCTGTTTGATCGGGATCTCGTTTGGAAGAACCGTTGGCGTTTAGGTCTGATCTTGATGGGACAAAGAATCCGAATGTAGATCTTTGGGCCGACTCATACAATTCGGTAGTTGCTGCATTGATGTCGAAATTATGGGATTTCTCCGGGGTGAGACTGGACGGCGTTCTCTGGATTTCAAGCCCCTCCTGAATTCCATCAGACGCCACCGGAGGCACATATGCAAATCTCGAAAGTTCGGAATCCTTCCACGATCTCTTGAGAATACCGGGATGTTTGCTATCATGTCCACTGATTTGACTGCTCATATACATATACGCACACAAAGGCTTTACCCAATCTCCCTCGAGTTTCGTGGGTACCATTATAGAACGTGGTTTATGCCACCACAGTAAATAAATGATGAATGCACAGAGAACGTGGCCCAGTGTGTTTACCTCCAAAAGGGTGACTGGGAGCCCAGTAACAAGTCGTCCAATAACTTGTACTAACATCCATCCAGCTTGGAGGATAACGAGGAGTTTTGCCATGGTATCTGCTTTGCTTTTATCCAATATCTCGCGTTTGGTTATGTCTGGAAGGTGACCGCATTCCGCGAGTAAATTGACACCACGCGCGGTAAGCGTCAGACGTTGATAGTTGGGGATGAATGTCGGCGTATTGTCCTCGGAATTTTCGAAATCGAAAACAAATCCACCCATGCCGGCGTAAAAGCCATGAACAATGGTCCATGGTGAAATGATATCATGTACTTCAACTCTGGTCGATTTGTCATCAAGCTATTAATTTTAAGTAACTTGGTCAGTCACTCTCCTGATAAATTGTACTGTCCATGGAAAGGCAAATCCTCCTTTCCGCACGAGTTTCTCGTTGAAATTTTTGTGGAATCTGAAGATCCAGAAATATAGCTCAGACTGAAAGAGAATATTCAGGGATACATACCTCTGAGGATTGTGTACGAGACTGTTCACTCGGAGATGGTGTCACAGCCTCAGCAATTCTATCCTGAACCAACGCTTTCAAAGCAGTCGCAGAATTATACTGTCTCCAAGCCGCAAATACCACCAACTCCGGAGCAAAAATACCTACAACACCCCATTTGATTCCTCTTATAAACTCCTGAATCGTAGGGTGATAAGGTCTTGGAATATTAAGATGCATTGCCGACCAAACACAAAGTGATAATGTCAATAGACAAGAAACGACGAGGGAAAATGTTCCTCGTCCATTGGGATCTGACACCCAGCCAGTGGTTGTCTCGTTGCTTGGTTTGAGAAATGGCGCACATGTTGATATATCGAATAAAAAGAAATAGAACAAGAAATAAGATGTAGATAATAGCATCGTGATGGTAATAGCGAGCTGTGGAAAAACAGCAAGCGACTAGTTTGTATTTCGCGCGAAATCTGGTGGGCCCACACGTTGGGACTTAACATCACTTAATGTTATTCCTCAACTCATATCTCTAATTTTATCGACACCGGCCGTGCCTCAATTGTTTCATGTATAGAAATAATATGACTTCGTATTGGACAAAATGCGAATGCAACCCAAAGAAGATTCTGCAGGACACCCTCCAACACCAGGTTTCCCATGTAGGTAGAATCGGTCGTTACCAACAGAGAAGCAACCCGTGGACATCGTTGATATAAATATACAAGTGTATGATAGGTATTTTTTTGGCACACACACTTCGGGGCATAAGCGCCGGCTGGGGTTGTATGCAAGGTTGAATAGAAACGGAAGGTTGCATTGTGATTCCTCGCGCCGCTCACGTGATACGGAGTCGAGGAGCTGACCTCCTTATCCCTTTTTTATCTCTTTGTGAAGTATTGAAAGATAGAGCCCTATTTTTTTGTTTCGTTACATACATGTGTTACTGTTTGTGAAATTAGTTTGTTGCGATTCTCAAATATGTTTTCAAGACCAATACAGCGTTCTGATAGGAAAAATCAAAACACTATCAAAGTTGTCGCGGGACAGCCAGCCATCAGTAGTAAAGCAAGACTTCGAGGTAGAGGAGATCTGGGCGGCTATAGTCTAGGAAGTAACCTACTCGAATGGCATGAACTTCGTAAGTTCCTTTGAATTATCCGCGGGCTTTACAATGACTAACAGTGTGCTGGAGAAAATTGGCAGCAGTTAGTTTGGTTTCTAGAATTCTTACAGTGGGAATTAGCTGAGATGTTTGATCCCCTAGAGACAATGAATACATCTTATCAGGATATAGGTGACTTCTGCCTTATATCCTACTATGAATTCGTAATCGCGCGACTAATATAACACAGACCTGCCTCGAATTCACTCCTCGCGTCTCTACGGAGCTTATGTCATATACATAACGAGACAAGTAAAGTTGCTTCGTTTGAAAAGATATCAATACATGGCTAATCAGAAATCGCACGTTTAGTCAACATATACTCTCATCTATTCGGCTCGATACTCTTCGCCACTCTTCCATTTTCTCTCTATAGACAAATCGCTCCACGTTATGCCACTGCAACGATAGCAGATATTGTCGTGTTCTCGACGTTTTTCTTTGGAGTAGCTATTTGTTTTCTACTTTCAGCTACGTATGTTCAGTGAGATGTCCAATAGATGCTTCTCTTAGCTGAAGCCTCAATAGTTTCCATCTTCTAGCGAATCACAGTAAGAGGGTTAATGCACTTGGCAATCAACTCGATTATCTAGGGGTGGTCATCTTGATGTGGGGTTCCACGATCCCGACTGTTTATTATGGATTTTACTGCGATCCAGCTATTCAGGAAACATATTGGACAATGGTAAATGTGCACTTCTTATTAGAAGAACTGGCTAATAATAAAATCAGGTATCGCTCTCGGCAGCGGCCTGTGCAGTCACAACTCTCCATCCCAAGTTCCGTCATTCGGCCTTTCGTCCATATAGAGCAATTATGTACAGTTGTCTAGGGCTTTCCTCTATCACCTTCGTTATTCATGGTCTCATACTTTACGGGTATGAAACGCAAAATTGGAGAATGAGTTTAGATTGGATGGGCATCATGGCTGGGTTCAATTTGTTTGGTGCTTTTGCTTATGCTGCAAGGGTAAGCTAAATCTTGCATAATTACTCCATTTGCTTGATAATCTTGCAAGTCCGAGTTCAAGAACAGAGATGAATTGTAACACTGAGGGCTAACAAAGACATTCATAGATACCAGAGAAATGGTTTCCACGTCGACACGACATCTTAGGTTCAAGTCATCAGATTCTCCATTTTATGGTTATTTTTGCGGGATTGGCACACATGGCTGGGCTTTTGAGAGCATTTGACCATATACACTCAGATACATTCCAGTGTGTTTGATTTGGTTCAAATACTACGAGAAATTTGCGCCACTGTGGTTTGGGGGGAGGGGGCGCGACTGTAAAGGGGCCCAGAAGGTTGCACATACGAAAAAAGGTGCATATGGTTTTCGAAATTCTCTTCAGACGTCTAGCTAGGAGACAATTTAACCCCAATGTTCCCTTGAGAATATTCTCAAATATATCTGCCGTGGACTGAGATTGTTGGCTTCGTGGAAAAATAAGAGAGAGGTTATCTTGATTTCTTTCTATTGCGTGATCAAATCTAACCTGTAGCAAGTCGCTTGCGAAGATTCACCTTGTGATGTTTCAAAATCTTCTACTCTTTCTTATTTGCTCGTGTATGCTTTCCTTTCTTTGAGAATCTTTTCGATACCGCGGAAATCATCTGATTAAACCAATAGAAATTCAAAAGCGTCAATATAGTATTCGTTCCCAGATAGCCCCAAGCCAACCATGTTGGTAGCGACAGCTCATTGGATTCTCCGGAGAATCTGAAGAGTTCCCATTCTGATGCACTAGGAAATCCGGGCTCCGGAGCAATTATTGCACTGGGGGTATGGAAAGAACTCCATATATCCTGATACAATCTTGCGGATTGGTAGACACCCCACACAAGACGGCATGAGAAGAACATAACGAGGAGTACTATGCCATTGTAAAGTTGTGCTTTGGAACCCGTCATATTGAGCTTATCGAAGAACCAGTGAATATTGAGGAATGGGGTGGAGAGTTCGTAAAGGACGAAGTTCAGACCATAATAATTCGCAAATGGCCTCTAAAAAAATTGTTGTATTAGCTTAATACAGTATAGTGATGATGGATACGTGTGCAAATAGAAACTAAGAAATAAATCAAAACTCACGAAACCAATGCCAACCACTAAAAGTGCACATATGGCATGTATTAACGAGCTCCATCCAAGAACATCTAGATGAACTACACTAGCCATCAAATCCCATAAGAAATAACCCATAGCAAAAGCTTGGACAAGACCTCCAGCCCCAGTGTATCCCCATATTCTTCCCCGCCAGTCCATGTTCCATCGTTCATCATCTGTCCATTGCACCCACAAGGCCAATGTACATATCACAGTAGATTGAACAAATGAGACAAAATGAATGTTCCAGTTGATCTTGCCTCGATGAGAAAGCGAAGGGTATGTTTTTGGAAAGAGTCGAGATGAAACAATTTGGGAGACATAAGTATCGACGATGGTGTAGAAACAAAATGCGATGATTATTTCATGTATGTGGTAAGGCAACGTTTGCAAGTCCAAAGAATCGGCCAAGACTTGTACTTTCGCGACAAAAATCTTAGGTGGAGGGAAGAATAGATCGAGCATTTTGAAAATTGCGTCGTAGATAATCGAAATGTTGTTACATTTCACAGGTATAAATATACTGGTGTGCGGCAAGAAGAGCCCTGAACTTTCAGCCTCGCAACGGTAGGACTACCTTGTCTCATCCCCCCTACCCTTGCCAAGAGGTCGTTTTTCATTGGAACTCACGACCGAGTGATGCTGCAATAACTTTTAAATCAGCCAAATGAGGCGAGACGCATCTTGTAAGGCGGTAGGTGATTGAACATTGGTTGGAAATGATCCGCCACCAACATCTTTATCCTGTCAGAACAGTCCAGTTCTTAGAGCGGCCATAGCAAGCAGTACACTCGTACAAGTTGGAGTATATAATTGGATGACAGGTAAGTTAAATGATGAATTTCGGAATGTCAACAGAAATTGCACGATAGTTGTCTGCGCAGCAGTCAAAACCTTTAGTTGAGGATTGATTTTCACACGATAAGAACAGTAGCGATTGCTAGACGGATTATTCAGCGACACAATTCCCGAAATATAACCTTAAGTCTTGTGACCTGGACGCCCGTGACACCACCTTGCCTCCTTGCGATCCTTCAACCCGTACAAAATCACCATCCCAAGTCCAAACACGACAATTATTCATCCCAACAATTTCTCATCACATCATAAGAAAATCAATTGCATCCTCCGCCCGTTCAAAACCTTAAAAGAACCTATAATCAGACGATATCAACGTACAGACGTGCATTCAACCCATGTTATTGAAACTTGGGACGTTTTAAGGTTGTCGGAGTTGATACACCTCCGTGCTTCATGTACTCGCTTGCTTACAATGCCATGGACGGACATGATTGAAGCCGAGGAGAGTTAAGGGTTGGCAATGGGATGAAAAGACTGGATTTCTTTTACATGGGCAGTAATAATGCTTGTGTTGCTATCGAGAAAGAGGAATGGTGGTTTGGGTGCGATTCGAGTATAAGACAGTTGTTGAAGAAAGATATACATACATACACCTAAAGTTAGGCTAACCCCCTGTCATATGCGAAGTTTTGCCATCATATGAAGAGACCGAATAGGGAGGCAATGTACACACCATTAAGGCCCAGCCTTACACATACTACCCCAAACATCTCCATTTATCAACCTTTAAGCAAAGCATCCAAAGATGATACACACCATCTCAACTTCAAAAGATAGTTACATGCCAAGCCTTCACTCCTGTCATCTTATCTCAATCATCATCCGTAGTTTTGGTTCCCGTCAAGAGACCTAACCCCTGGAGTTTTAAAACTCCCTTCCCCAAACACTTCAAAAGTCATTTCTGTTACAACCCCAACCTTCATGATGTCCTTGAATATTCTTGGAAGAAGGAATTGTATTGAAGTTACCTCATGTGTATCGCCAAGGTTGGAACAATCGGACAAGCATGTTGGAGATCATTCAATCTTCGTTTTTGCTTAATTATGCCTTCTTTCTCCCTCGATGTAGGTTTTGATTTTTTGATATTCATCTCTTGTATTTTACTTTGTCTACTGTTTCTTTCTCTCTTCGTCATTCTTCCTACTATCTCTTATAATATATACGTATTCTTTAATTGTTTTGTCGGCGAGTACGATATACATACATCAAGCGCTAGTCGCCATCAGTCTATTCTGCTCTATTCTATAATTTTTAGAAAGACTTATTCACACAGTAGTTCTCTAACTTCACAACTATTCATTCTATCAAAATGCATTTCACTCAGTCTCTCCTCCTTTCCGCCTGGAGCATCAGCACTGTCTATGGTAAGTCCTATGCATGCCCTCTCTCCAATCTATCTAACCCTTCCTCCAGCCGCAGCCAATACAAGCACTTCTCAAACCCATATAGTCCGCGTCGGCCAGGCCAACAATAGCACTGCACTTAGATACTTCCCCGACAACATTTCAGCCAAAGTAGGCGATACAATCCAGTTTCAATTCGCAGCCGGAAACCACACCGTTACCCAATCCACTTTCGACGCACCCTGCGTTCCAATTAGCCAAAGCTCAAATAACACAGGTGTTTATAGTGGCTTTATGAATGTAGCTGCTGGATTGAATAGTACGGGTATGGTACCAGTATTCAGCATGCCGGTTAAGGTCGCTACACCTTTGTGGTTTTATTGTAGTCAGGGAAAGCATTGTCAAAATGGAATGGTTTTGGTGGTCAACGAGAAGTAAGTTTCTTCTCTTAATCAACCATGTAATTTATACTAATACCTCACAGCACCGCAGCGAACTCAACCCGCTCTCTCGCAAACTTCGCAGCACTAGCAGCAAAAGCCACAAAAAATATCGCCCCTACATCCAACGGTACTTCGTCCACTTCTTCTTCCTCTTCCTCGACTTCTAATTCGGGCTCTTCGGGATCAACGGGCTCTTCCTCGGGCTCTTCCTCCGGCTCTTCGGGCTCAGATTCCTCATCCACAGCAACAACACTCTCTCCAGCCTCAGGTACATCTTCTAGTAACAGCGGCGATTCATCTGCAGCTGCATCCGGAACAGCCACCACCAGCACGAGTCTTACGGCCGCTACTGCAAATGCAGGAAATAGATTTGGAGTCCACAATGCGATGGGATATGTGGGCGCACTTGGAGCTGGTGTAATGGTTTTGCTGTGAGGGGTTGATTGATAAGTTCGATGATGGATGATGGAAAAGAGATATCTAAAAGATGAGAGAAAAGTAAATTTGGTGGAAATAATGCGGAAAATAAAAGAAAAGATGATTCGTTAATGTATCACTATGCATATATGCATTATACCGCGATCCTGTGGACGGGACGCGATGATGGCGTATGGAGATTACTCTCTACTTTTTTTTTTGTTTAATTCGCTGGATGATAAAGCGATGTATCATGATGAGATAGAATAGATGATGTCTGTCATATCCATATAACTTTCGTCATCATGTATGTACATGTGAAGTGCTCGTTCATACTAGAGTCAAATGCACTAGACAAGATTAGATAGTTAATAACTGGCCCTCTTGAACAATATTCAGATTGGAGATAGATGGCTCCTTGACTTCATCCATGAAATCCCATGGTGAGGATATATAAAAGATTACAGATAGGATCTTTGTATCAGAAAACCCGCCCGTTGACACTCCCCTCAAATCTCCTGATAACGCCAAATCTCGCCACGCTGCTTTAATAGAAAGAGAACTTCTCGTAGATAAACATTCGTGCCAGCGAAGACCCAAATCAGCAAGTTCGCTTCTATGCTTCCAATTATAAATTCGTATCTCCCCTTCAGAAATCCAACAACAACTGCGGCGCCATCTTCTCCAAATCTTCCACCTCCCAAAACCCACCACCTCTTCCACTACCCCTCTCCGCGTACCTCACCCTCGCAATTGCCTCCCGAACAAACGTATCCATATATTTTCCCACCGCTTTATTCGCTTCTTTCGAAATCCGCGTGTTAGGCTCTGCAAAAAGTTCGTGCATAATTTTAGAGAGCAGATCATTAGGAATTGTTGTGCGGTTCTCAGAGTCCGAATCTGATTCCTCTGCTGGGTTTTGGTGGGTAGATGTTGAGGCGGCGTTGCGAGGGGTAGGACGAGGTGGAGAAATCATTTCGAGCTCGGAATCAGAGGATTGGGGATCGCCGTTGTCTTTTGTCTTGGAGGTTGAGGATTTAGCTGTGGATGTAGATGTAGATGTTGATGCTTTGCCTTTCCCTTTTGATATAGGTGGTTGTGATGCGAATGGATCATCGCTATCCTCGTCGACTTCCATTTCATCATTTTTATCCTTTTCCGACTCTGAATCTGAGTCTAAATCTGAGTCTTCGAGTTGAGGAGTGGGAGTTTTGGACGCGCGCGGTTGCTTGGAAACTGGCGGTTTGACTGTGGATTTAGTTTTGGGGGTGGTAGATGTGGAAGTTGTGCCTTTGGGACGTCCGCGAGGTTTGGATTGCCCGGAGGGACGAGGGGGATTAAATGGTTTTGGGGGCATGTTTGTGGGTGGATGGGCAATTGAAAGGGCGATCAAGGTGATTGTGAGCTTGCTTATGTATTGTATACGATATATGATGTGCGGCGGACGATGTGGATGTGCAGATAATTGCAGCAGTAATTTGAATCCAAATTCTTTTCGCTGAGAGAGTTGAAGAAGCTGAGAGACGCGACGCGAAATGGAACGTTAACATGTGACGCAAGAAAATGCAAATACGGTGACCTTTCCGCACACACTTCGGAAAATTATCCAACATCGACATCAACAAAGCAGTAAAAGAAACTCAGTATTACTCGATTTAGTTTAGGCTGTTGAAAAAATGAATTATATTCGTTAGATGTGCAACAAAACGTCTGAAATGGATGCTAGGGATATGGTAGAGGATGGTGAATCGATGAGAAGGAAAGGGAGGTTGATTCTAGTGAATCTTTGAACCTCCCTTTCCTCGAATTTGAGGTGAATGTCTAAGATGCTTCGGGTGATCACAGGGCGAGTATATTTTGAAAGGGAGATCCAATAGCTCAGATCATTCAGAGTCTTCCGCGAACTCACAGAATTTCAGGATGAAGTATTGGTAGCATGGCGATGTTTTCTTTCCCATGCACTCGAGCCCAAACCTGGCGCAACATCTTCTCGGGTGTCAGCATCGCTGACTCTAAGATCTTTGATGTACTTTTCCCATATCTCTTTTCATATGGTAGAAGGTGATCGAAGTTTAGCCATGAATGAAGTTCGCGTGATTTGAACGAATTCTCAGGAGGACTGTGCTTCATCTGCGGAAAAGTAGCTGCCAGGTGTGAAGATTCGAGAGCATTTCTCGTTTGAGGATTTAAAGAAAGGGGTCAATCATTGGACTTATCAAAGTGAAGTTCACGATTCTCTGTTTCTGGGATATCACAATCTAAGTCCTGGCCAGCGTGTCAAGAATGACCTAGCATTACTCCTCTTCTGGAGTTTGCTTCGATAAACATCTCGCGAGAGTTAGGATTTCTCTTTGCCACTCACATACCATACGAATCAACTCACAGACCTAGTAATCAAGGGCACCCATCAATCTCAGCAAATTAACTACTGTAACATATTATAACTATCTTCTACACACTACATAAACATGAACTAAACGACAGCAGACGGTAATGCCTGCGGATATATATGCAAAATAAACAAAAGAAAACTTTTGGGCCACGCCAAGTCCACAAGGGTAAAAGGTATCTATCTATCTTCCGTTTCCTTTGTCGGTGCAATCATCAAACACACTCTATACCAACGCCGTTTTCTTGCTGTTCGGAGTGAGATTCAAGGATATTACCCACCACGCACGAATGCTTCGCTCGCTATACCCCCCTCCTTTTCAGTTTCGCTTCCTTTGGTAAGAAAGGAGACGAATGTGAAATTATATACAATGGAAATATTTATTTTGTAGATTTTGTTCGTGTGACATTGAATCGATGGATGATGAAGGATCTGTCGTTGAGATTTATATGTCGATCGATGAACCTCGGGATTAGATGATGTTTGTAATACTCATCCGTTCGTTGCCGCGGCTTCTGTCGTCTCTTCGAGCCGGAGGACTTGTTTGTGGTTTTGCTGTAATTGGTCCCATTCCACCCCCTCCGATTGATCCTCCTGTTGAGCCGCCCATTCCTCCTGCTACTCCGGGCGCTACACCCAAGCCTAATCCAAATACGCCTCGAGGCTCGGGCAAATATGCATTTCCTTGTCCTTGTCCAGGGAGAGATCCAGAACCTGGCACAGGCCCAGGCGCATTAGATTCTCTAGCCAAAATATCCACTAAATATTGCACTCTTTCCCACCCACCCCAGTCTCTCGCTTCTGCCTCCCCAAGCACCAAAAGTCCCCCACTTAATCCACTCATACCTCCCATCTCCCTGTCTCTGTCTCCCTCTCTTGATAATGTAGGACTAGTCACACCCGCTCCTCCAGCAACATTGGGACTCCTCATCCCCATCGCCTCTCTGCCTTGCCAAATCCAACTCTCATCTCCACCTTGCAGATCTCCACTCAAGTATGCCAATACCTCCTCATCCATATCAAATATTCCTATCCTCTGACTGGAATTTTGACCTAAATACACCTGTTCCCTACTTTTATTGTCCAAACCCCTCTTCTTATCAATCAATACACCCAAAAAGAATCCAATATATCTTCCACAAGCCACATTAACCTCTCTCTCAAATCCAACATAAGCAAGCGCTCTAATACATGTCGCAGCGGCGTCGAATCGTCCTCCAAAGAGTAAAAACAAAGTGCATCGCCATATATGCATACAAATCATCGCGCTAGTGCTTTGGCCCCAGCTTCGATTTTGCGAGGATAGTGGGCTTGTGGAACTTTGAGGGAGAGCGCGAGAGAGTATAGAAGCACTGTTCATAGAGTCGAGAATACAGGATTCGATAGCGGATGCGCGTAGATCGGGTGGCGAAGAAGTAGTGAGATTGTGGCGGTGAAGTGAGAGACGTGCGTTTAGAAGGTGGTAGATTGGGACGAGAGTTGTGGATTCGAGAGGGTCGGAGGAAGAGAGATGGAAAGGGAGCGGAAAAGCGGATAGACAGTTTGTAAAATATGTGTCGAATATAGAGATTGTGGAAGGGGGAATAATGGGTAATTTGAGGGTCTTGAGGAGAGACCCTATGGCGCGCATGGTATAGATAATTGGAAGAAGATAGGTTGACGGCATGCTTGTTTGTGCGCTATTTTGAGGCGCAGGTGGAGACCGATAGCCCAAATAAAATTCATCAATGGGGTTAGGGAGATTAACATCGCAATCTGCGTCGTCGATAAGAAGGGGTCTTCCAAGTTCAAGCGACATGTGCCGGTCCCAAATATAGATTCCCCACCATACTCTTCTGCGCATTTCATCTTCAACTAATTGCCACGGTCCCGTCTCGCAATGAAGGCCCAAATCTTGTCCAATTCGAATACTTGATCCAAGCCATGTCCACGCTGACGATTTAAGATTCATTTCGTAAAGAAATATACTGGTAAGGAGCGCTGAACGCGCATGATCTATGCAGTAATCGTCGTTCCAAAGATCTGTAAGGTTTATGGATAGTTCTATGTATTCTTTACCTTTGTAAGGTCTTTGAATACTAGGCTCTGTGCTGAAAAGAACTCCCACTGCCATCACCGCAAAGAATAATGCAGTCCAGTTCCGTGATATAGTTTCCAAAGAGCCCTTTTTGTAAACTTCTTCATACTCGCGCTCAAAGTTTGGCCAATGGAGTATGGGTGTTACTAGATGTATGGAAGAATAATAGGCTCTCAGGAGGTGATCTGCGAGATGCTTAGGAGGTAGTTCGGGAGGCGGAGAAGTTCTGTTTACTGGTGATCCTATTTGTCGGTATGGAGCTGGAGTTTTGAAGATTCCATGGCTATAGTTCCCGATGCTTGATTGTATTTTTGACAAATCGTGTAGCAGAGGGGCTCTTGGTCTCTTTTTAGGTTGCGATCCAATCTCTGGTAAGTAAATGGAAGTCGAACCTTCATCAACATCCATTTGATCCTCTTTCATACTGAGCATGGCTCTCAATTGGTTATTCTCGCGCTTGACTTGGGCAATTTGTTTCTCCAAATCTTGAACTTGTTTGATGGAAGACATACGTCTATTTGTCTCTTTCGTAAATTGACATTTAACATTCCTACTAGAACACTCCGAACAGCTACTGGTTTCCGTTGCATCGCATTTAACTTTTCGTTCTCGACAGGCATCACAACTTGGATCCTTTCTGCGTTGTCGATACGCTCGCTTTTGCGCTTGCATATTTGCCGATGTCATTTGTCCAACAGAAGGGCCTGGAGTGCCGCTTGACGACCCATTTGATGCTATGGAATCCATGCCCATTCCGCCTGGAGAGGTAGTAGCAGAGCCATAACTGTGGTGGAAGGGACTTTGCCCGGGTGGCGGAAGCCCTGAAGTCATTGCCATGTGTTGTGGGTGAGGGATGTTTCCGGTCATTGGCCGTGGCGAAGCTCCCATTAACCCTCCTTCGTACAATCCTTGGGGCCTGGGAGAGGTCGCAGAAGATACCGAAGATGAATCATAAGATGATGTAGAAGGTATCGGTGATCTGGGATATGTATTATGCAATTGGTCCGTCATCGTTGGAGCACGCGGGATCTATCTCTTCAATTGATATAATGACTGTAGGTGAAGTTGATGTATCTATGAAACGAAAATACTGATAATGAAGTTGTGTATGCTTAAAGATGTCGTTATTGGTGGTTTAGCTTCATCGCTTGGTCGGTATGTACCGGTCTATAGAGTACTTGTGATAGAAAAGAGTGTATGAAAATGTTCTAATTGGAAAGCTCAGTGATAAGATCCACACAGCGTCTATAAGATCTAGTCATAAAACTTTTAGTCAGAATCAGGTAATCTTTCAAGTGCTCCGTGTGTTGAAGATCTGAAAGATTCGCGATGCGCCGCAGGGGAAAGAGTATTGTGCAACGTTGAAAGCTGCCAAAATCCGACGCACGCCTGCAGTGTGCTCAAGCTAGAATTTCCCCCACTGAATCTTCAATGCTAGATGTATCAAAAGTCGGCAGCTGATCCGTGAGGTGGAGGTGATTAATCTGTGACAGAACGGATATCAGCCAGTTATATCAAAGCAAATGGTCGCATATCGGGAAATACTAAATGCTTTAAAGGAGAATGACCATTTTGGGGCGGTAAATGGGCATGAAGAGGGAAAAGATTGTGCCGATGAACAAGTGATATGAGCTTTTCGTGCTAGAGTAAACTTGGATGAGTGGTTGAATGGGAGGGTATATGACGGAGATGCAAGCATTGGGCTTCCGCTTTAAGGCTGATTGGGAAATCTGGAGTAATTGATTGCCAAGATTGAAAGGCAAGCATTCAAATCAGAGGTTCGCCAAAGTTTGCTAGGCCCTAAGTTTCCCTGCTACCCGGCCATCCATGTATATAACAAGGACTATTATCATGTTAAAAGGTAGCGGCATAATTGCGATGCTCCAAGGCCTCATCAGTCTAGTTTCTTGTGACAGGTTATCGGCAGGGGTTCAAGATATGTGCCAGTGAGTAGTAGTTACCGGAACACTCTGCATGAAGCGAATGTCAAGGGTGTTAAATCCTAAGGTGGGTATGGCCACGAGGCAAATTCATCTTAAGATCTTTCCCGATTGGGATGCAAACTTGAAATCTCATCCTTATTTGGTAGTCGGGTCGGCAGGAGGTTCCTGTCATACTTCGGGACATGATATGCACTGCTGATGGCGCGCTTGATTCGATTCTCCAGCGGAAACTCAAGGCTCAAGAAGATAGGTTCCAGGCAGCTCGGTACTGATGAGCCGTCCTAAAACTTTAAACGACATATAGAGGAGATCTTTCAAATAAATTAATAAAACATACCGTTCAACTTGCGCACCTAATTCACCGACCACTGATATTTGTGAAGGATGACCTCCCTGCAGGATTCTCGGGTTGTGGCGTGGGTAAGCGTTCCTACTTGCATGTATGCGGACTCCAATCCACTTCCGGCAGAGGATACCGACAGGTTCGGGCCGTTGATAGGACAGGGTGAATTCCAATGACTCGGAGTTATTATGTTGATACTTTGGGGGCGACGTAAGTCTTGTATCAAGAAGACGAGCAGATGGAGTGTGACGAAATAATATATGAGAATCTAGGTTCTAGGCAAGCAAGATGTACTGGTACATGTATGTATTGTGCGACGTTCGAAATGAAGAGACCCTTGATTAGACACTTGGGAATATTTTGATAATTTCCTAGCCCACGCGATTTGATATGAATTTGGGAAATGTGTAAATGTGAGATACACGTGGGCGATCTTCCTGAATTTCGTTTTTGATGATCTTTATTTTCCAGACGCCAAATGCGGATTTGTTCATGAACAATGCTTGAGTCTAGGATCCCGAGAATGGTCTAGGTCTAGGCCGTTGATGGCATAAGAATAACTGATGCACGATTTGTGTCCGTAGGAGATTTAATAGGCGACGCGGCACAAACCTGGTAAAAGAGGTTCAACATTTGGTACTGGGAATATAGTGATGGGATAAGGTGGTGGTACCTGCTATCCTTGTATATCCTTGCTACAATGTATTTAAACGGGTACCTTGAAGAGATTCACTGGGGTTTGTCTCGACAGCATGCTGTGTTCCTAAGATCAGCGTTGCCAAACATGCTCGAGGTGCATGATAATGTATGCAAGGCTGGTTGTGAGAGAAATGTTGCAAGATGCAGATAGGTACAGCTTTCAATGCCATTTAATTTTCACTCGCCCCCGCGCGTACAAACATAGCTTTATCTTTGACAAGGAAGAACCAAGGTAATGGCAGTGGGGTTTTCAAGTTCCGGTTCTTCAACAGTGCTGTCGAGACGTCAAAGATCTCGAAGCAGGGAGATCTCCTGTCGACCTAGAAGCGAGCCGTGTACACCCAATGGCGAATTAAATAAACACTAATTGGTGTTTCATCTTCTAGATCCTGCTCAGAGCCTCTTTTTTACCACTGACTCCAGGTAGTCCATCGTTTAAAAAAAAAGGAGGGGGGATGTATCTTTCCGGAAAGAAAGCATATTAGAGGAGTGGTCCCGTTAGCACTGCTCCGTAAGGGTTTAGGAAGCATGCCAAGACTCTAGATGCTGAGCCATGGCATCCGAGGTACCTGCGGATTATTGTGGGGACAATAAATGTTGAAATGAGGGGATAGTCGACAAATATGCCGGTTTAAGTGGGCGGTATATCTGTTCGTTTTTGATCTGTGTTGATGGCGACACATACGCGCCACAGATCCATTGATCAACTATCTACTCTTTTTCTTTCCAAAAAACTAGAAGTGGGATCATTATCTTATTCTGATGATTGAGGTTTGTCAGTATCTGCATCTTTAGTTTCAATGGAATCCCTTCGAAATACCGACGGTACGTGGAAAGCATGATCATCTTATCTAGTCTGACATAGATATTGATATCTATCTTGATTGTATCGATGTCATTTATTGTACTGCTAGCTCTAGATTATTGAAGACCATGTCTGACCGCTTCTGATAGGCCTACAGGCTCAAAAGCATTGAGGCATTTCAATTTGCAGCACTGATTATACCGGATCTTAATTACTTGCTCATCTGACCGCTGCAGGAGTCCATCTCACTGCTAGTCAAATTGGGCTTTACAGGAATTAGCGGGGTTTCCTACCATGAAGCCTGAATTCTTTTACTTGACAATTGCAATAGCCTCGGCGTAGTCTGCTACCGGATGCCGAAACAATATTATATGACCTGCGATGGGTATAATAGGGAGACATTGGAATGAAGATGCAAAAGCCTCGCCCAGAGGTAAAAGTGTAGATTGAGGTGTGCTACTATGCTTGTTTGGATGGCTTCATTTGCAGGGCCTACCTGGACTGCTTCAAGATTCTAGCGAGATTCAAGATATCCACCTAACAGAAAAATGCACTGCCTCCTTGGCCGTGACTGTCAATCAAGAAGGTTTAGATGGGCGTCACGGGTCGTGTATTTACCCGATAAACTTTTGTTAGGACAAGCCTCCCAATGTATCGGTATGAGATATATGATGTCTCCCAAGTCCCGGCTGTGAGTCTCGATCTGAGAACCAGATTAACTTGACTCATGACTGCGTAAGGAACGTGTGGATACTCGTTTTGGGTTGACTCTTGAGCTTCAATTAGATGGTAATTGACAAGGAGATTCGTTGTAGACAAGACTGTCACTGTTCCCATGTATTTGGATTATGGGGAAGTATCCTAGGTGACAGAGGAAGGTGCTAGCCTAAAGAGGCATATATCATACAGAATTAGCTTAATATCAGAGTCTTTAGGGGTATGGCTAGTCCAATGGTAACTATATCTATTAAATAAAATCCATTTTTCTGGTGAACTATGTAGGAAGGAATTCCCGTTTTTGGCCTTAATACTTTTCGATTTTCAAAAATTCAACAAATTAATTCGGTATGTTTATACCTTTTCAGATTTCGTTCTGCTTTTCGATGTAGTTAAGATTTACTTTTCAGTCAGTTTCAATAAATCAAATTTGCAAATTCGCTTTCCAAATTTAATATTCCAAATTTCAGATCGGGATTTGTTAAGCATTAGTCCAATTAGGATGTTTGCAGTTCCTAATTAGTTATATATAAGTTTTAGGGATTATATTCAGTAATTCAACGAATTAGATTATTCGAAAGATCTCGATTATATCAAATGTGCTAATCACCTCGTAGTCTGCTTATTGTATATAAACAAATCGGGCTTAGGTTGGTTGTTGATGGCAGGGGTTACTGGGAGTTAAAAGTGAGATATCAGGAGGGTAGGATTGATTGGTCAAAATCTGTATATAGTTTGATGGATTAGGTGGTTTATTAAGTAGTTTTTTAGAAGGTTTAGGTTTGCTTTAAGTTTGCAGGTGCTTATTGGTTGGTTTCGGTAGTAGAGGAAGGTGTTAGTCTAAAGAGGTATATATTATACAGAATTAGCTTAATGTTAGAGCCTTTAGGGGTATGGCTGGTCCAATGGTAACCATATCCATTAAATAAAATCCATTTTTCTGTGATGTTGGATAGCATTTAACGTTACTCCGGCAGTATGGATTCCATGTCTTAAGAATAGAGTTTGTGCTGCCATGGCATCGCGGTCAAACATTACTAAATTAGTTATGCACACTTCGGAAACGGAACTACCGTGCTCATCTAGTGTCCGAGTCTAAATGACCAATTTCAGCAAGTCAGTAACCGATTTGAGATGAAGGATGATTATGCTTGAGCGTAAATAATTGCGATGAGAATTTACACGGCATTCTTCAGATACTGCAAAGTTTTGTGCAAAATTACCATGTTTTAGACATTGGCTATTTTTGTCGATACCGACAGAATTGACATTCGAAGCTCCAGGCTCGGAATTCTGGAATCATACAGGGCTCGAATATCGTTTTGAAGGGATTGAACCTTTGAGGAATCAGAGAATCAAAGACATTCAAAATTGCAAAGTAGATCGCTGCACTATCTCATTTCGCCCACTCCGAGTTCGTTTGGTTGAGATCGGGTTATTGTCGAAATTGCCAGGTTGATTTGTTGAAGATGACGACAAAGGGTGCTCTGTGGTGCTGTCTAACATCGGGGGACCATCCGAATCTAGGGGCATTCCCGGCGCTTTATTTGTTAAAACTTAGGGTTGGTGGTCATTCGAGTATAGCGTTCACACTGTGAAGTCGAGACTCGTATTGTTCTATGATTGAGAAGGCGGCTTCGTTGATCACTCTGACTTTGTTTTAAATTGACATCACGAAATTGATCTCACGATTCATTGACGATGTGTCCCTTGGACTTCCTTTGGAATCCTTCCTGAAGCTGCAGGTTCTGTCTAGATTTCATTGTATGAAAGAATTCAATCAGAGATCAAAAACACCGACAGCTAGTATCTTATCGCCGAACATCACTTTACCACTCCTCTGGAATGCCGGTAGAGTTTGCCGAAAAAAAAGTAAATGAGAATATTATGATATTCAGCATGGATGTGAATCCGATTTTTTTTCCATTATCCGGTTACTGGGTATCAAGAACTGATCGTCTTCCCATGGTGTAAGATTGATACTGATCGGTATCAAGGTAGAAATTGCAATACTACTGTAAAAACAAGGGATAAACCGCCATTCGCCTAAGCATCATGATTTTGAAATATGCCCGAGAGATGAGAAGCTCTGGCCCAACTAGGATGTGTTAGTCTGGCTTGGAGAAGACCCATTTTGAATGTTAGTGGGTATGCCGAAATCTGAAACGTATGATAGGAATCCATGATATATCGTATGCCTCCTAATTTGGCAATCACATGCTCTATCATGGAACCAACCGCCAGGAACGGAAATCTGGTCCAATGTTAGTTGCAGATCTTTGCTTCTCTCTGTGTTGAACTTGCACTGGGGCGCTTTAGCATATTTGTTAGGGTAGTAGATAACATGGATTGTTCTCCGAATTCTCCTCAATGGAGGGATAGATGCATCCTCACTGATCCACCATTTCACAGTCATGTTGGAAGAAGACTATCTCGAAAAAGAATCCTTAAATCGACAATTAGAATAGAGGCTGAAAGGGTATGTGCGTGCATTCAACGTTGCGTGTTCAGAATGTTTTATATGTGTACTCTATTGTGGGATACAAGCTTGAATCCGGGAAATTCTCCGAGTTCCGCAATAGTTGCACACCTCTATGATGCCCACCATAAATGCTTGCTGTGAGTTTGCGACGGCAAGCGGTAAGAAAACGTAAAATAGGTGTAACTGGAACCTCGAATAGACAGCAAATTGATTCCCCTGTAACGATCACAGGATATTCGCAAACATTACTCCAAGAATAGTTCGGCGATTGACCCGAAAAGTCGATATTACCCTCCAGTCTTCATATTAACCACGTTGAAATACTAGCGATATACCCAAGGATCGGAACTTTACGTGCAAGGGGTGCAAGGAGGTTAGGGCGTCTGCTCAGGACCAAGAGATCATGTAAAGAAATATCTCCAAGGCTACCAGAAGTCTTTCCCCGATGTCAGACAAGATCAAGTAAGTACCCGCTGCTCCGGGAGTATAATGAAACACTCTGTAACGCTCCACCATGTTCAATGGCGACGTCGGTATCTACATCACAAAACCTTCGTATATAAAATGAGCCCACAAACAACTTCGGGGTAACGTTGAGTGACAGATTGACAGTTGATGACTAGGGTAAATACCAAGGAGAAGATGGGAAATGCCGTTCGTACAAATTCAACACTGAAGACCCGACGAGGTGACAGTAGCACAAGGGGGAGAGGAGGATTGTGGAGCCTCAATGGATAAGTTATCTCCATTCCTGGGTCGACTCCCATGTCAGTAGCCAGTTCAAAGATTCGGATAATGCAACCAATGGTCGGGCAATTGCTCAGGACAATGCCTCAGCCTCAGTAGTCGGACAATGACCCCCCTTGTGTGTTTCCATTTGTAGAATGTGGTATGTAAACCTACTCTACCGGCGACCATCGACTCCCCAGAAGTTGGGCCATTGATTATGTGGCTTGTACAGATGAAGCAACTCGGAAGTAAAAGATGGGAGAGTGATAAATTGTGCTTCGTTAGATCATAGATGGGAATTTAAGTGTAAGGTACTGGGATTTCTCGGATTCCGCCGTATAGCGATTGGCTCTCTTGCGTAGTCCTTGCAAAGCTATTGCATCTTAAGACTCCACCACAGAGCACAATAGCCTATGAAATTCACTCAACCTCTATCTTCCTTGAAAGGATTGGCTAGAACATCAAGAATGTCGGGTCTTTTGATCTTTTTACCTTGACCGCCAGCAAAAATAGGATGAAAAGTTTCTGCCATTTTTCGGTCATTACCACCTTTTCTCAAAAAAATTCAATAACTATTACCATACATCTTCAATCTTCGTGATTAGACCACACCTTTGCATTGTCAATTCCCTGACACCATTGCCCTAGAAGACGAAAAAAGGGCACAAAGGTGGCGATTGGTAAAGTAATATTGTGCTGTAGTTTGATATCTATCTATCAGAGATTAATGGCCGTAGGCCCGAAGTATTTCATTTTTGCCATCTGTGCTATTTGGTGGGTTGTCCTTTTGTAAAGCGTAGCCCTCTCTATCAAGGTTGATATTCACTCAATATTTACGATAATTGATCATTCATACAAGTCATTGCTGGATCTTTATTCTTTCTTAGAGCAATTGATCTTTGATAGAAGTATCTCTCGATAACCAGATTGTTGCCCCAATAGAATCGATCAGAGCACAGAATACACTTTGCGATCTCGATAATTCGACTTAAATTACCATCTCTTCCTCATCCAAACCCTTTCAATATACAATAATTCAAGATGTGCGGTGAAAACATGAAGCAATTCCTGAAGGAGCTCCCAAAATGTGAGCATCACATTCATATCGAGGGGTCTCTTTCTCCAGCGCTCTTATTCGAGCTGGCCAAAACAAACAATATCGCCCTTCCAGACTCTGCGACTGATGCCTCTTTCAAATCTCCCGAAGAACTCGAGTCTCGCTATGAACGCTTTACTTCCCTCAACGATTTCCTCCATTACTATTACATTGGCATGTCAGTTTTGATAAATGCTGCGGATTACGAAAGTTTGGCCTATGAATATCTAACAAAAGCCAATCGCGACGGAGTTCACCATGCCGAAATTTTCTTCGATCCACAAGCACACACTGAACGTGGAATTGCATACAAAACTGTTGTTGAGGGTCTTACTGCTGGATTGAAGCGCGCTGAGAAGGATTTCGGCATCACCTCAAAACTCATTCTATGCTTCTTGCGACACTTGTCTGCTGAGAATGCAAGCACTACATACCAGGAAGCAGCTTCCCTTGGTCACTTTTCAAATGGAACCGTAGCTGCTATCGGTCTTGATAGCAGTGAGGTTGGATTTCCACCAGAAATCTTCAGAGAAATTTATGAATCCGCGGAAAGCAAAGGAATTCATCGCACCTCGCACGCTGGTGAGGAAGGTGACACCTCTTACATTTCCAGAGCACTAGACATCTGCAAAGTTGAGAGAATTGATCATGGAATTAGATTGGCTGAAGATGAAAGTTTATTGAAGCGGGTTGCAGAGCAGGGAACAATGTTGACAGTCTGCCCACTAAGCAATGTTCGCTTGAGGTGTGTTGAGAATGTTGGACAATTGCCAATTCGAAAGTTTTTGGATGCAGGAATTAAATTCAGCATCAACAGTGACGACCCAGCTTACTTCGGTGGTTATATCTTGGATAATTATGTTGCTGTTCAAGAAGCATTCAACTTAAGTTTAAAGGAGTGGAAATACATTGCAACCAGCGCAATCGAAGGGAGTTGGTGCGATGATGAGAGAAAATCTGTGCTCTTAAGCAAGGTCGACGCATGTTTCAATAAGCATGAGGCATTGATCTGAAGGAAGGAGTAAACAAAAGTTGAGTGTCGGCATTTTCAAGTCTGGATTTCATCGGGAACGTTGCAGGTATACTGGTGCCAGCAATCATCTCTCGAGTGCGCATCTATATTCAACTTTGTTTCGGAATCTAATATGCACAAAAAGGAGATAATTGGCGCTGGGGTTTAAAAAAAAAGAATTGAATGAACATATATATATACATATATCCATCACCTCGCTTCCCCTTGCTAATCGGTGATCTTCTTCGACTCAATACACCATTGTTCCTGTGGGCGACTCAGCATTGACCTTTTTACAAACGTCGTTGCCGTTTAAGTTTTACTCACTATACTCTAGCTGTGGTTTCGTCCTTCGTCTTATCGTGAAAAGTGGGTGCATTGAATATGGTGAATTTCTTATATGATGTGATTCACAATCAAGATGGTCAGGTGCCGATTTGCATCATCCGTTTTTTTTTTTTCGACGGCAGGAATATCAAGGAAAGAGAGGAAGAAGGCCTTTCTTTCGTGTCTCAAATAGCTTCTTTCCATTTCTATGCCAAAATCCACGCCATGGGCCGCACAACTTGAACTACTCTGGCTACTTTGTAAGTTTTCTATCACTTCATTGAAACGCCAAAAGTCTAATCTTCTTGGATCTCAGAACAACAAGAGACTGACAAGCGACCACCAAGCCAGCCATTTGACTTGTGAGATCTACTAGTTTTATTCTCACTTTTAGTGAAAAGATCTCCCAATAGTCAATTTCAATGGGGAAATCGGAGTTGATACCAAAAACTCGACCCAAGAAGAGGGTACGGCCAATCTCCAATCCCCTCTACACCAATGTTGAGGCCTTCTTCTGCAACATACTCAAACATCATGATGTATGCCCGGAAGAACAGTTTCCTGCCTTCGATCGTCTCTATTCTGTATCTTTCGAGCACGAGGAAAGTTTTTATCTGGGATGTCAAACATTCTATGCCTTCACCGTGGAATTCATGGATCCAGAAAAATTTGAGAAATCCACCGAAGTTGCACCTCCTACTTGTCAAGTGGTGGTTCGGCCCAAATCTTACAGAAAGCCTGCTAAATATGACATTCAACCATTGACCCCGATTGACGAGTCCAGCGAGTCCACCGAATCTATCGAAGAAAGAACGAGAAACGGTCAACCTTGCTTGCCAATGAAAATGTCTCCTGTACACGGTTTTAGCCATTGGAAAGATGAACAGCCCAGGATGGTCTCTTCACTAATGCCTGCTGCGGTTCCAAACAACAATATTTCGTCACTTGGGGTTGCACATTATTCAATGCCTCCTTTATCGCCGATGTCGAAGATGATTCAGGATCTTGAGTACGCATCATTGTCGGTATCCACCAACACCCGTTCGAGTGAATCACTTGATTCAATTCATGGTAAATCCTTGAAGTCAGCAATCGCTAATATCAATGGTATTGAATCAAATGACAATGATGGACTCTACGCCATCTCTATTCACCCCACTTCAGCGAACCCCGCAATCAAAGTACTTGATGGAGTTCAACCGACCTCCCAATTTCCTAATCTCACATACGATGCTCGAACCGATCGATATATCAAGAAACCAAAGACTGGAATAGAACGGGATTCTAAACTTAATGATGGTCTAGCAATTGATGGCATGTATACAGCAGCTACTGTAGCGAGGGGAGAAAAAGGCATGGTCGCAAGTCGAATCACGGAACGTCCCGAGACAGAAATCATGAAATATACAGATTCGGATGGAACAATGGGAGTCCGACCTTTGAGGATGAAGCCACAAGTTCAAGACAATGGTTTGTACCGAGAAGTCAAGGTGAGGCTTGGAAACGAAAGTGCCGAAGATGCTGCTAAAGGACATTTACGAATGGCGTCAGAGCCAGAGCGGCTTGTGATTCCAGGAGCAGATCAACATATTGGCAAATTTAGAGCCGATACGATACCAATTAAGAGAATTGCAAGACATCAATCTGCGAATATGTCTCGAAAACTTGAAAATTCTCCAACCTTATCCCGTAGGAATTCCCGCCGCAGAAAGGCTGGTCCAGTCTACTTGCCAGCTTGTACCGAGAACAAAGATGGAAGTCCAAGAAGGCCATTTTTCACTCCAGACGATACAAGATCGCCATCACCAAGATCTCATCTAGTTCGCTCGCCACCACCAATGAATCGTCCATATCGTCATATCAGTCAACAATTCGTAAACAACACGTCTAGTATTGATACCCCCCCAACGCAAGATCGTGGTTCTGTTGAAAGTGATCTTTTTTCAGTCGCGGTTGATGTTACTTCTCTCGTATCGCCAACAGCCATTACAATATCTCCAGAGGTCAATATCACTTCTGTCATGCCACAGTCAAGAACCACCAAATCCTCAACTACCCCCGAGGCTCCAGTAAAGGTTCCACCTTATATCTTTGACCTCCCTGAAATCTTCTCATCTCCATCACCAATCGCTTCACCACCTAAACTTGCAGCCGCAGTTCCGGCTACTCCCACCCAAAAGTCTGATTCCACAAACATCCAACCTCTTCCTATCCATAATCGGAAAAAGACTGGTATCACTTCATCATTATACTCCCTTTACACCTCTAAATCCTCTCCTCACAATAGCGTTCATGTACATCCTCCACTTTCCAGGATTTTCAGCGTCCCAACTCCACCAAGTACGCCAACGACTAGTCTTATTCGCTCCGATACAACCAATACAAAGAACACAGTGAGTACCGTGCGCAGTACACCCACTCAAGGTACCTACAGCCACAGCCGCCACAACACGTATTCGACAGATCTCTCCAGCATTGCATCACCTATTACCAGCCCGCTTCACAAAGCCAGACCATCCTTCGATGCTGACCCCTTCCGAATCCCTAGCCCATCCCTCGATGCATTTTCATTCCCAAATACCGCTCCATCAGTTAAGCCATCACCGCTACCCTGTCCCCGCAGCAATCTCAGCGAAGAAAGCGTCGCCTTAACCAAACATCTAGTCCGAGAAGGTATCTACGGCGGTATTGTCTACGACGTCGCTCCTTCTTCCAATCGCTATCCCACCTACCCAGAACGATTTGTTCCCCATCTGACCAAAAAGCTCACTCCCGCTCAACTTCAACGCAAGAAGGTACTCGCATCCCGCAAACTCGCATCCGCGCTCCGAAAGCGCGAAAGAGCCGAGAAAAGAGAAAGGAAAGCCCAAGCGAAACAAGCTAAAACGACGCTGAAAAAAGTAAAAGCCCGAACTAGGAATGCGAAACTAGCAGTGCAGAGTAAAAAAGGAAAACTGAACTATCTTACCATTCATGTCTTTTTCAGGGGCTTAGGAAATGGGGTTAGGATGAAGTGGCAGGGAGCTAGACGGAGATTGAGTCAAATACAGTTTTCGAAGATTCTGGGAGCAAGACGGGAGAGAGAGGTTGTGGGCGAAGAGTACGATTTTGTTTGTAGGGGAGAGAGCGAGGATAAGAATTGGGAGGATGTAAGAATGAGTGGTGGGATTTTCGAGCCGGTGATGAGTGGAGAGGGGCAAGAGATCACGGAGTCGAAGATGAAGGAGTGAGTGCAAATGTGGATGTGAGTGTGAACGCGCTGTGTGTTACTCGCTGGAAAATAGTCTTTACGATGAGTATTTCTTTTGTTTCTGGAGTGCGGATGGAAGTGGTACTAGATTTGACTGGTACTGGTAGTGGAAGGTATCCATCCTGGGTAGATGAACTCCTTGGTCATTCGGATATTAGACTAGACTAGATGGACAGTTTCCTTTAATATTTCTTCCTCTCGGAGGTTTCTCAGCATGCGTATTATTGGAGTTTATGGATATGAAGGGAGGATTTACAGGCGTTGCTATTCACCGTAAGTTTCGGATTTGGGAAGCAACTATACAGAGGATTCAACATGATACCCATGCATTATGGATAGGATATCTTTATCAATTTTTGGGGCATGCACATATCACAATTAAGATGAATAATGGAAGGATGGGGTAGATATTTAGAACCATGATATATTATGCGACGTTTTACCATTTTCTTGCTATCTAGCTTTATTGGTTGGTAGAAAATTTAAATTTAAATCACGATTCTGTTTTGAACTTACATTCACACTTACACTCACATTCAGCAACCTTTATTGTAGACTACAATGGAGCAATGACATGCTTTAAGTCGGAGGATATTCTTGAATTGCATACCTTCGTTCAATAGGTATACGATGACAGTCAATTTATTAAAATCATACCTACTATAAATCCACCGACAAGGAATGTCAAAACCAAAGAAAGCAATAATTACATTTCTAAACCCAAATCACACCACCCTGCCGGGACATCAGGGCTTGATGAGCGATGATGCTCTCTACCGTCGTATTTGGCCTCAGATCTTGTACCCAGCGTTTTCGGGTCATCTACATGTCCTTGCACCTCCATCTCTACATTCTCAACACCTTTCCCTTTCCCCTCATAACTCCTCCCTCGTCTAATCCCCATACCGACCATCTGTTCTCTCACCCTCTCTCTCTTCTTTCTCGCACCCCTCGCACACCCTTCACAACTTCCTTTTTCTTCAATCACCTGTGCAAGTCCGGTTTCGGTGCCGACTCCAAACCTTGCAGTTTCCCATGAACATATTTTCTGCCTCTCTTTGGCGCGAGGACAAACGGAGATGGGTGTGTATTTTGAGTGCGTATGAGGACATAAACTATAACAGACGTGTTTATATCTGCACATTCTATGAGCTGTCTAGCTTTTGGGGCTAGATGGTATTCTGGATCTGGTGGTTACTTGCACATTGTACAAGTGTATAAATCAGTGTGAAGATATGCGAATGTGAACTTTGAAGTTTTGAGATTTGAATGAGATATGAAAGGGGGGAAATGAAGGGATGATCATGCATTTTATATCTTTCTATCCAAAATTCAATGAAAGCACAGTACATGCTGATCCTATGAATGGAAATCTCTAATTCGTCCTTTTGTAGTAGACGTCAAGGTTTTGGTATGACAACGAAATTGATGTTCAAACATTCAACACAGATAAAATAGAGAACATGTTGAATGCCAAAATATTGCTTATTATGGGAATCATCCATTCTTTCGATCAATTTTCGTGTCCCAAGCCAAATAACTCCAACATCAAGGTATTTTTCACCATCCAGTCTAAATGATTAACCCCTGCCCATGCAAGTCATTATTTTTGAATCATTAACTTCCTTCCACTTTCTCACATCGTACACTCGGCTCTTTTTCCATCTATCTGGATAATAACGACATCCAATCCAGTGTTGACATCCGAGTTGTGAGACAGAACGAAGCAATGATAGCCGTTTCCTTCCTTCATAGCCTTGGTATCCATGCATCGTATCAAATAAGAATCACCGCATTCCCCTCCTTTTTCCAATCATAGGAACGGGTGGAACGGGAGGAATTGCTGACTTGCCCCTTCCACTTGCCGAGTGCACACTTAGTCTCTGCGCCTGCAATTCTCGATCGATACTCAACAGATTCTTTACTATTTCCGCGAATGCAGATTTTCTTGCTAGCTTTGTTGTGTCAGTATGGGTTTATTTTTGGATCATAATCTTTTCAGCTTTTTGGACAGCTTCTGATGGCAACTTGGGTTGTGAAGAAGGAAAGAATTTTCTCAACTTTGAGATCTTGATAATCATGCCCATCACCAAAAGTAAAGAATAGAACTTACCACCCGACTACCCTCCTTCTCTGCCTTACACTTAACACAAAGTCCCTCCGCCCACCTCTCTCTGAACTCACTTTCCAATTTTCTCCCTCCTCCATTCCTTTTCCACTTTCCTTCGTCCCTCCTTTCCCGAGTCGCTGGGGTTTCTTCGTTTTCCTGGCCCTCTGCTTCTCTCTTCCATCTCTCAAATCGTTCCCTGTCGAACCTACACGGCGGGCTTTCGTATCTCCCACCCCCAGTACTCATTCTTCTACTCAGTGATCCCGGACATCGTTCCTGTAGTAATAGAGAGGTGTGTGGACAAGCGTGGTGTGTTATGATGTAGATGCACATCTTTCTCTAAAGAGGATGCTCAGTGGATATGACAATGTATATTTCTATCGCTCGTTCTCTCTGGTCGTGAAATCCTCGGAGTGTTGGGCGTTCCCTCGATGTTATATTGGTATTTTCGACGCTCGTCGAGATTCTTTGTTCTTCCGTATGTAAATGCAATACGAATGATCTCGACCCAACCAACCAAGACCCTCCTGAACAGTCGTTTTCCCTCGTGATTCCGGAGCCGTAGTGCAGTCTAATATTTCCAATCCGGGATTTCCAGCTCAAACTCACAAGAGTCCCAAAGACTCAACAGAAGTGATGCTGTGTCCAAAAATCTTGTGCCAGTTCTTTCTCCCTTTCAATACACTATCGTACCTGCGTAAACTCTCTGTATCGCTTTGGGGTAAATTATCACCACTCCAAATTTCTATCGTGATATCGGGTTTTATTCGTTGAATCCTTCGTAATATACCTCGGTATCTCACTAGAGATGCCGTCGCGCAGAATCTCAATTATCCAAGTAAATGGTGACTGGTGATCAAATGGTACTCCTTTGTTTGAATATTAAGACGTGATTCAGACGTGATTCGCTTCTAAACTCCTTCCTTACCTTTCAAAATACAAATAAACATGCAAATTTTGTTTCGTACAGCACATGTATTACACATGTGATTACAACTCCACCTATATCTCCAAAGCCATGATAATATTCACTTCCCTAACATCCATCATCCTTCATCTACTCTCCGAGACTTCCGCTGACCTCACGAGCCACAGCTAACGAACAACCACAAGTCTAGACCCAGATTTCAATTTATTCTGCCTTTCTTTCGATTTTCTCTGATTTTCTTTTTCCACCAAGATCCCAGCTTCCATGGGTATCCACATCCCATGGCATCCTTGGAACTATCCCTGGACTTTGTAATTTTGCTCACGAAAACGCGGGGGTATTTCCACATCGCGATGCGTTTTAATATATATCTTCATGCGCAAAAAGCAAGTTCCTAGTGGCCGTTTGGAAGAAACGTCGACCAGGCGTGATTCATCATTTGCGAACCTTACGAGTGGAGTTCTCGACAGGAGATTGCCGACTTATTATAGATCCAATAAATTCGGCATTCGACAGATTTTGGTAAATTATCGCAAATATCTCTTTCTTAACTTGTGCTGTCCCTGCGTTTTTGTGGCGACGATGTTGCTTGATAAGTGCCTCTCTTCTATTATCAACACAATACTATTTCAGGGCAACGAATGCCGGTGTAACTTGTGAGAATATTTCTTCAACAGCATCTCTCAATATTGATACAACTCGGCGGGATGCTTGAACATGTGTGTTACGTCTTTGATACCAATTTAGAGACATCAAATCGAGGATGGGAAATTGCGGGGTCATAGAGGATGGACGTATCAGGTTTGACTCGAAGGGAAGATAGCAGAGATCAAATAAATGTTCAGTATTGTACGGTGGCTAATTGACTCCAAGGAATCGATGATAGTAAATCCATATTGAGCAAGCGAGATATTTAAGGGGGACAGGAGGTGACAGGTTCGTGGTGTTAGCAGGCTCGTTGGAAAATGTAAGATGTATGTTTGGTACGAATGAGATTCGAATGTCAACATCACACATAAAATCGAGTGAGGGATATTTGCATAAAATGCTAGGTTTATGCAAGATTTATGCACAACCTCGGCACGAGCACTTGATGTTCCCCTCCCCCGCATACTAAAATACCCCATACATATCTCGATGTATCCATCCAAACTAAGGAGCTCAAGAGGTTCTTTAACATCTCCAAACCATCCACAATGACCTCCCCTCCCCCCTCCTCCTGGCAACAAATCTCCCACCGCAAACAAAAAGCCAGACAATCCCTCATTCCCACCCCCTGGCTCCTCTCCTCTCCCCCAGCCCCTTCCGTCTTCAACGTCCTCTCCATCCCCCGCACCAGCGGCATCCTCACCCCCTCCGAATTAAGCAATACCGAGTCCTACGACGCTACATCTCTTTCCACCGCGCTCCGTTCCCACGAACTCACCGCTCTCGAAGTAACCATCGCGTTTTGTAAACGTGCGGCTATTGCTCAGCAAGTATGTAACTGTCTGACCGAGATATTTTTCTCCGATGCTATCGCTCGTGCAAAATGGCTTGATGCCGAGTTTGCGAGAACGGGGAAGGTAATTGGTCCTTTACATGGTGTACCCGTGAGTTTGAAAGATACGTTCAAAGTAAAAGGATATGATGCTTGTATTGGAATTGCTTCTTTGGCTGAAAACCCCGCTGGAGAAAACTCTTTACTCGTGGATATATTGTTAGAAGCTGGTGCGGTACTATATTGTAAGACGAATGTACCGCAAACTTTGATGGCGTTGGATTCAGATAATCATGTATTTGGACGAGTGTTAAATCCGAGAGATAGGAGACTTACTGCTGGAGGCAGTTCAGGAGGTGAAGGGGCGCTAATTGCAATGAGAGGGAGTGTATTGGGGGTAGGTACAGATGTGGGTGGCAGTATTAGGATACCTGCTATGTGCAATGGATTATATGGGATCAAGCCGAGTGCTCAAAGAATACCTTATCTGGGACAAGAAGGTGGCCAACAACCTGGAGCATCGAAAATTGGACTACCTGCTAGTGCGGGACCAATTGCGAGGAGTTTGCGAGACTGTGAATTGTTTCTACAAATAGTATCAGATTCGAAACCATGGGAACGAGATCCAGATGTAGTGTATGGAATGTGGAAGGAGCAGGGTACTGTTCAAAAGAAAGAGAAATTAGTATTTGGTGTCATTAGAACAGATGGAGTAACAACACCACTTCCTCCCATCACCAAAATCCTCAACGAAACAGTACACAAACTCCAAGCTGCCGGTCACTCAATAGTTGAGATCGATGCGCCTGCATTTAAGAAATGTCAATCGCTCGCCAATCAATTTTTCGGCATCGATGGTGCAAACTATATGTTTGATCTTCTTGAGCAAACATCCGAACCGCTTATTCCCTGGTTATCCACGCGTTTGAGACGGAAATCCCCAATTACTCTCCCGAAACTTGTGGATATCCATGCCAAGAAATCAGAATTAGAAAGGGAAATGTTGAAGATCTGGAATGATATCAAGATGGGTACAGTCGATGCTATTATTTGTCCCGTGGCTCCGCATCCTACACCACAGATTGATAGCTGGAATGCTACAGGTTATACGAGTAGCTTTGTGTTATTGGATTATCCATGTGGAACATTACCCGTGCGAGATTTACACGAAGCGGATTTGGAAGGAGAGTTAGTAGAGAAAGTGGGAGGAAGTTGGGATAAAGCCAATAGAGAGTTATGTAAGTTTTCATCTGAAGGAATATAGTGAGTATTATACTAATGAAAATGAATAGGGGATAAGAAAACAATCGATAGGAGAGTATATCTCGAATCGACACTTTGTGTTCAAGTCGTAGCACCAAAAATGCAGGAAAGGAGATTGGTAGAGGCAATGGATATTATTGATGGTGTTATACATGCAGAGCAACTCGGAGTGAAAGCGAAGTTGTAACGGATATTTTTCTTCATTAATAGCTAATCATTATATATCTCTCTTTTTCCGCTTCTAACTCCTCCTCTTTCACCTCTGATTTCCTAGCCCCGCTCTTGTCCTCCCTCGTGCTATGCTTAGCCCGTGTGTCCATTGATAGAGGGATATGATTAGAGAAGAAACTCAGTATATAAGCCCTTGCACCGAACAGCGGGATAGGAAGTTCAACGGAGCTTTGGATATTTGTGATATTCCTTACTGGTACGACACAGATCAACATAAGAGATGCAAATCAATTAGTGGGTATGTGGTCACCTTCTTCTAGTCATACAGTTCCTTCGTTCCTGGAGTCCTGGCTCTCAGCTTTTCACACTCTCCAAATAGACATGCACTCAGTCAGAGTTGCCGAAGATATTTGCACTCAATCTGGGTTTAATTTCCGTGCTATATCCTATGGAAAGTTTTCCTGTTGTACTTTCCAAAGGGGAAAATTGCAGATGTATACTTTAACTTCAAACTGAGTTACATTGACAGAGTTCCCATTGGCTGCGGTTAGCAAGTTCAGCGATACCAGAATACAGAATAACAGGAAGAAGTATAAACCTTCAAATACAAATCATCTAGCTCTCCGTCAATTTTCTTTTCCATCACTACTCTTCAATCTTAATCTCAGCTCGTTTCGCCCATTCCACTTTCACCATCGGATCTAAAATAAACATTATTTCATCCACAAATGAATTGTTTCCCAACAACCTATTCCACCACGATACCCGCTCTTTCACAGTACTCTCGCAATCCCCCGGAGCCCACCACATAAACTCTGGCCTACCACTAGTTTCGGAAGATAATCCCACTTCATAAGTTTCTCCCACCTTCAAGCAAGATAATGGTGTCGCACAAAGACATGGATCCGCGCGCGTACCAGCACCAGTCTCTCCAGTGAAGAATATATCGAGCCCAATACATATCTGGGTGGTGAAAGGTTTCTCGGGATATATAGTCAACAAGTCGGTATCGGGATTGATAGTGATTTTGGTGGTAGCTAAACCGATGTTCGTGTAGATTTCGAATGCTTGTTTGCCTGTATCTTTACGAGTAAGACTGTAGGAACTGTTGACAGAATTTGCTTTGTCGGGCGCTAAGAAGCTATCGGTGATATTGACTGTAATGGGGTTTGTGGAATCTATGAGAATAAGTGTAAGATCGATGATGACGGGAAGTTCACGGGATTTTGTGAGTGAAAATGAAGGCGGCGAGACTGATGCTGTGACTACGAGTTTGGGCTCTGTACGAAGTTTATCGCGCCAAGCCATCGCTGGCCGTTGAATCGATGGAGGATGATTGTTCATTTTTTTCTCGATGAGAAATGTAACGAAGTTGATTGAATGGAAACCGAAACAAACAATCAAAAGAACAGCTGAGTCAGTGGATAAAGTATGCTTTAAATGCGCGGTGTTAGACAAACATATATAAGCCAAGTGCTATAAATACGTCAAGTGGCGCAATCAAACAATGACACAGACATGAGACGGCGATTGGTCTCTTCCAAGGTTCGATTAGGTAGGCTCCCGTCTTATTGACTGCTAGTGTGGCTGGAGAACCATGAAGGATCACCGTCGTTTAATCAATTAGGCGATCGGGAAGGTACCCGTGGACATCTTCACCAAAACCCAATAATATCTTTGTTTCTTATTCATTTTAATTTTGACTGGTGATGATATCTAAGAGATTCACTCTATTCCTGTCATTGGTCTTAACACTCATCTATATGACGAAAGGTTTAATTGCAGCTTCATTACCACGAATTCTCAAGGCTAGCAAACAGAATTTAGATCACTTTCAAAAGTTATGATACATGTTCGTCGATAGTTTTATGCTAAGCATACAATAACGACTCAGAACTATCAAATCCTTGTATCAAACAGACGACCAATATATCCATCAATCACATATGAGTTATTGCTGCTTCACAAAAAGCATAAAGTTCCTCTCCCAGCTCAATCTCCCCTAGTGCAAATTCTGGTTCAATGGCAATAAGAGCATCCGTAAGATCTTGTAAAAATTTAAAAATGAAGTCTCCCCCAGGCCCGGTAGTAAACTCCCAATTCGCATCAATATAAGCTGTTGCTCCAGGCAGCGGAGCCGTTCGCCAATATTGCCCAAAGTATTGCACACCAGCGAACTGAGCAGCATTACACACATTTATATGCTCTTCGACTCTATTTGGATGATCCCGTTTGGAAATCTCGATATCGTCAACGCTTGGGGAAAACGAGTCACGAATTCCTCTCGGAGTCCAAATGAAACGTTTGCGTAATTCTTCGGCGTACTTTCTGCCTGAACATCCAGACGCCGTCAAAGCAGTATCCCAAAATATGGTTGCACCAGCCACCAATGACCCCTCAACAAACGCTGATATATTATCTACTATTGACATTCATCCCGAAGACTATCTTGCGACCATGATGAAACAATGTAGCCGATTGAATTCAAACAAGAGACCTCTTGCATACACCAACAATCCGATCGATGAGCCACAAACACGAATCCACTTCTGCAATACCACTGCCCTGAATGCTTATACATACCCAAAGCTCAACGATATAAATTGCAGCACAATGGATCTATTTGTATCGTACAAAATGCTTAGTATCGGTGGCCATATATTTCTCCACGAACTAACATAAAACATACTTCTTTCCCTGACAACGTGAAGCGAAGGCTGATGAGTATTTTAAGCCATGTCAACAAAGCCAGCCAAGCGGCAATCATGCCTTTCAAGCAAAAGGGAAACGTAGTGGGTGATTATCAGTACGGCCCTTGGCATACAAGATAGCTGCGCTCGACTATAGAAACTTCACCGTTGGTGATTGCAAATGCTGACAATTATGCTTGGTTCGCGAATGCAAGACCCGGAACATATCATCTGGAGAATGAGAATAAACTGACTATCATGTAGAAGGGTTACTGATCTAATCAATGCGGTCATGATTTTGCTACCCGAGAGACACTATCTTTGCCCCTCCGGGAGCAGGTAATGTTTCTGGTAAAAAGAGGGATGGCCCTGCCGAGGGCGATTGCTTGGGCCGTTAGCTATCTCAAGAGCAGTGAATAGTATGATGTTACTTATCCGGAACGAGCGATGCAACTCTCTGTATACACATATAAGTTTCATGATTCTAGGATATAGAGTTTGCTTTATCTTCTATAACTTAATGAAGAAGTCTATAATGGAATGCACGTCAAATTCTATTGACTCTCTCACACGTACTCGAATCTAGATAGATACAATCGAGACGTTGCACTTACGACCATCTCAAAATTCTGAATACTTATCCAAAAGTAATTGTAAGCTTACAAGTGACTATGGCAACACAAAAGATAATATCCATATTCTATATATTGAAATGATGCTATAGCAAAGAGTGATGGAAAAGCATCGAGGCAAGGTTACTCGCTTGCTAAAAACCCTTTAGGATATAAAAGCCTCCTTAGCTTCAATCTGTCGAAAACCCTTTGATGTGAGCTTACTATCTAACACTCCACCCCCACTTAGGGCTCGTTCGGATCGATTTTTTTTTCGACATTAGACATAATATTGCGTTTACCGAACGCGATATTGAAGTCATATTGGCATTTGCTGCGTAACATACCAACTCCTAACTGTTGCGAAAATCTCCAGAATGCTTCTCACAAGCCCAATTTAAATAAATAAAACCTCAACCTAACCACATTCTCCTCTGCCTCTCTTATCAGAACCCCGGGGCAAACCCACACAGGTCTCACTCAGACTTAGATTCCCCCCTCAGGAATTGTCCTCTTCTTCCTTCCCTTCTGGGCCTTCTCACACAACTTTGGTTTCTCCCCCTTAGTTTCCCATCCCTTCTCCCTCTTAACCTTTCCTATCTTTGGATACTTTCCACTATTTTCAAAGAAACCTATAATTGAAACACAATTTAGCCAAAGTATCCTCTCAGATCGCACCCCCTTCCCCTAAGCTCAACTCACCAATCCAATGCCCCAACGCATCCCTCACCCCCTTAGCCGCCTCTCTCCTCTCCCTCTCCTTCAACTTCTTCATGCCCCCCTTCCCAACCCTCTTCAAAATTTCCGCATCCGTCTCCTCGTCATCCACCGGCAAAAACATATCCTCCACACCCCTCAGATCCGGCGTCCTATCCTCCTCAAAACAATTCGTCACAAACGCCCTCGTAGCATCCACACCCGCAAAGAAATGATAACTGCCTCCCGGACCATAATGTCTGCGTCCCGCCGTAACATCATAGATCGTGCCATTGAGCGCGAGGTAGATTGGAAGATCTGGGTTCGAGCCGTCGAAGCGCGGGAGATCTGCGTCGGTTATTTGGGGAGGTCCGTTCTGAAAGAGAGTGAAAGATCTTAGTTATTATATTCCCCATTATAGAAGAGTATCCGTAATTCTCAAGCTTCCTAGCTAGCAATTCAAAACAAAAAAAGGAACCAAAGAAATCCACTAACCCAGTATCCCTTCAAAACCTCCCCATGCGTCCAATTCGGTCTCTTCATTCCCCAAAAATAGCTATTCCTCGTAACCACATAACTCAACCCACAGCTTGCAACCAGTACAAAAACAATCGATCTCAGTAAGTCTACCAACGAGAAAGGCGCTGCATCGTCGTCTGCTGCTAATTTGTTAAGTGATTTCTTTGCCTTCTTTTCTGCCGACGGAGAAGAACCCCGAGTCGTGGTCTTGGTGAGAGGAGCCTCATCTTCGAGAATATCAATGGAGTTTCGTTTGCGACGTTCACGGAGTGCGTCTGTGTCGGCCATCGTGGATGGGTGCTAATACGTGTATGTATTGTGATGAAGTATTAAATTGTGTTATAATTTGAAGAAAGGAAAAAGGATCAAGGGCTTGAATGGAGGGACGAGATTGACAAGTGGCAGGTTCGTTGGAGATAAATTGATATGGGGAAGTTACGGGTCTTTGTGTAATAATAACTCACAGCTTGGAGATTTAGCCTCGGACTTGCATAGTAAATGGAGTCGTCGTCATTGGTATTTTTATGGATATGGATATGGATTTGGAATTGAATTACATTTAGCCTTGGGGTAGACGGGAACGGGAAGAGGGAGTATTGAGCGGGGGAGAATTGGTCTGCAATTAAGGTTTTCTAGGGAATTGGACCAAGAATTGGTAATTGTGGTGATCTCAAAGGCTGAGATGTGGTTAAACTTGGTCCGGGAACTCTTTCCACCGCTCTCGTACTCGCACTCGTATCTGGACTGGATCTGCTGTGTCGTGTTCTATTCCTTCAGATTAGTCTGCTTTTTCATAGTCACATCTCTACCACGATATCACATCTGCAAAACATATATGAAGACCCATCAGATTTGGCATCAATAAGCAAAAGGCTGAATTCGATATGCTACACCTGCCTGCCTTTCCTAACAAGCCCGAGGAAAAGTCATAATATAAAAACCCATCCGGATATCTCATGCCAAAACGTCCACGTACAATCCATAATCGTAATTTTGGTCGATTATTTCGAAGACGAGGTCATGACCATCGTGTATTGCCTTGATCGTTTTGAAGTTTTCCGATTATTGATTTCTTTACTCGTCGGCTTGGATAGCACGGGCTGTTGAAAGAAATAATGTTAGCATTTGTATTTTCTGGATCGTCCTTTTGACACGCTTATCCTGAAGATCATCATTCCATCGGGTGGAAATGACTCGACTCGAATGTTCTTGCGCTGCATCGAAAAAGGATAATATCGGAACGTAATAGACATACTGTAGATATCACCGGCGTGATGCTTGACAACAATCTTGATTTGTCCCTTCTCCTCCAATTCCTTCAAACATCTTCTGGCCAAAGATCCGTTGATCTTTAATCTATCGACCAAAACAGCGACGGTGACGAGACGGTAGGATTGAACATCTTTGGCGAGTCTGTCGGAAGTGGACTTATCGAGGATGACGGCGTGTTGAGCCTTGTCCTTGACTATATTGATTTTTCATCAGTTTCCATTCGAAAATTCCAGGGCATGGTAAAAATTTAATGCGCACCCTTTCCCTTGGACCACTTCTTCTTTTGCTTCTTTGCGCCGGTGTTTGCTGGTGCCATTTTGTCGGTTTGATGTTGTCGTGAAGAAAATGGATGTTTCTCTCAAGATCAATTCAATAGAGGTGGATTGATTTTTCAATTTAGGGCTTGTGTGTGCCGAGTGGAACAATCGCGCTAGTCTTGACGTAACCATCACGTGATAATATCAGAACAGATTCGTAGAAAATTGGAGGAAATGGAGGAAACATGCTCAGAATGGAAAAGGAAGGAAATGTGAGAAATCTAGTATGTATTGAAACTGTAGATTACGGGTCATAAATCAATCACAATCACCATCTAATATAAATTAATTGTCGAGTTGCTTGTAGTCAAGCATCTATAAAACGATGGAAACCTTTGAAGATATGGATATAAACACCAAGTACTAGATGACAACCCCTGTCCAAGCGACATTCAAGCAATAGTAATAGCACTCTACAACGTTCGCTATCTAGGCAGTCCATCTTTATGGAAATGCTATTCGAGAGAGCCAACAAAGTCGAATATCAAGATTTCGACTTATGAATGGTATCATTATGGGGGCAAGCCCCCAAACCCCCTTAGCTCGCTGCGCTCGAAGACTCCAACTAGATTCCTCATTCTTACAAGCCCTTTTACTAAAACCTCAATGTTACTACCCGTAGCAATATAACAGTACCTATTATACAGTGATCCAAAAGTTTGCTCTCCCATCGATGATCTCAAAAGCCTTAATCGCTACAAAAACTTTTGCAAGGATATTTTTCATTTGTTTATGTTCATATATCATTTTGAATTTTACGTGTGTTTATACCTCTAGCCCAGCATACTACCATATATGGCGAATTCCCTTTTTGTTCCGCCGGGCAATGTCTCCAACAAGCCTCATTTATGCAAATGTTTACATGTATCCTTGCCATGCCATGCCATATGTTGCTATGCGAAGATGATCCACCATTTGTGAGAATTCCCATGCCCGTTCTAATCTAAAAGTTCATCTTTTCCACTGTCAGCAACTATATTACTCTCCGACATCTGTATACTCGATCTCCTACTTCCATCGTCCGTGGCTGCTGTAATAGAGATAGCTGCATCCAACCAACTCTGCGATCCAGTCCTGAGAACAAAATATGGGTTGATATCCTGACTGAAATACTTTTCCTTCCTGGTCGTACTTCTTGTACCGCCCTCAAGGGCCGACATAGCTGCTCGAGTTGTTCTCATTCTCTTGGGTTTCGGTGCGATATTACCTCCATTTTGACTGAGTAGATTGCTCAGACGTACTCGATCTTTCTGAAGACGTGCATCGTAGGATACTATGGACCTAACGTATGGAGCAACGTCGAGTATAATGAGATTCATAGTTCGAT